GAGAGAGGTTTGGAAGGAAGAACAGCTTGCCACTCTGTTGCTCACTTAGCCCGTTTGTATTGCGATTCCTAAGGAGAAAGTGTAATCAGACCCAGTCTACCCCCCAGGGGTAGTTACCCTAGACTCAAGCCCTAACTCTCTCAAGGGTTACGCCACCAAAGGTTTGTGAAGGTCTGTACAAGGTGCCAGGGCAAGAGGAAAGTGCAGGAAAAGAGCAGGTTTTCGAAAAGTAGAGGTGCTGGACAGCCAAATTTCCTAACCCTAACCCGTGGGCGAGGGAGGGAAGGCGAGAGAGCGGGGAGGGAGAGGGGCGGGAGAGGGCGGGGGCGAGAGGGGAAGGAGAGAAGGACGAGGTCAGTACCGGCATGACGGCGACAGAGGACGCGAGAAGAGAGATGACGGGGGCGAGACGACCGAGGAAGGAAAGAGGGGAAGGAAGGGGAACGAGCGCGAGAGAGGGAAGCCGGCCCAGACTCACGGGTACTTGCCGGCCGAGATCTCCTCGGTCAACATGGTGCTCGAGAAGAACAGAGCGCTCATGATGACGGGCGCGAGGACGGCATAGTTCCAGTACGTGCCCTCGTCGGCCCTGACCTCTGCGATCGCGACGTGCGCCGCGAGTTTGGCCTGGGCACCGAGGCGCGACAGGGCCCCCTGGTTGAGGAGCGACAGCGGGTCGACGGGCGACAGGGCGCGCAGGGTCGTGTACGGGTGGAGGAGCGCCGCGAGCGCCATGTCGAGGTCGACGTGCGAGGGGAGGAGGGCGCCGGGTACGCTCGACACGAGGTCGACGAGCTTGGCCGTGGCCGACTGGGCCTTGTCGGACGGGGTCGACGAGCCGAGGTGGGCGAGGGTCGAGAGAGGGTGCGAGGTGAAGGACTGGGCGAGCGGGAGGAAGGGGACGACGGTGAAGGCGTAGAGGATGTACCACGTCGCCTGCTCGCACGCAAAGTTCTGCGGTGGTGGAGGGAGCGAGGGTGTCAGTGTGAGGCTCGCGGTGTGGGAGAGAGGCTGCGTGAGGGAAGGAGGGTCGAAGGAGGACGAGGGGGGCCGACGGGCTCGAGGGAGGGGGACCGTGCGCCCAAGGGAGAGCGACGGGGGAAGGGAGCAGATACGCTCGAGAGAGAGAGAGCGTGTGCGACGGACCGGGTGCCTCGACCAAGCCCACAGTCCCTCTGCGACAAACCCACGCTCGACGGCCGTCTGCTCCTTGACGGTGAGGGCGTGGCCCTTGGTGCGCTTGTCGAGCGCGCGCTTCTTGATGTTCTGGAACGCCTGCTGCTCGTTGTCGGCGCGCATCTCGAGGGCGAGCGTGACGATGAAGAGGGCGGCGAGGAGGGCGTCGGCGAGGTTGAGCGGGACGCGGGCGACGGGGGCGTGGCCCGGCTTGAGACGGGCGAGTTGCGAGAGGTGGGACGACGCGGCGCGGTCGTGGGTGAGGAGGAGGTACTGGGGGAGGTCGGCGGCGAGGAGGAGGAGGTTCTGGATGAAGGCGATAAAGACAAGGTCGAGGAGCGAGAAGGCCCACTTGGGGAGGCGCTTGCGGACGACGAGCCAGCGGTAATCCTCCTCGCCCCAGGGGTTGAGGGTGAGGAAGCCGCGGCGGGCGCTCTGGTACGTGAGGCGGGCCGACCAGGCGCACTGGAGGGCAAAGACGAGGAGGATGCGGTGGTCGAGGTCGGCGATGCGGGTGACCTGGCCCGTGACGAGAGGCCAGAAGGTGAAGTGGGCCGAGTAGATGAGCGGGAGCGAGGTCCACAGGCGGTCGACCTGCGACACGTTGCCTGCGAGGGGAGCGCGGTGAGTCGACGTCACCGGGAGAGGTGAGGGAGGACGGACCGGTGAGCTCGCCGAGGACAAAGACGACGGCCGAGGTGACGAGAGAGAAGGCGATGGCCGGGTGGAGCGGGTCGGTGGCAGGGTTGGTGTACCACGCTCGCAGGTGGTCGATCGACAGCGACGAGGGGAGGAACGAGGTGAAGGTCGAGATGGCGGGGATGAGCGAGTGGTGCGCGTGGTGCGGTGTGACAGGGTGCAGGAGCGTCATGGTGTGCGGGTGCACTCTCTGCTGGCTAGAGCGTGCGTGGTGGAGGGAGAGGGAGGAGACGAGCCGAGGCGGGGAACTTGGCGTCGGCAGCGCACCATCGCCCTCATCACTTCTCTCTTCCTCTCCGTCACATCCCGCACACCAGGAGCCACATCATGTATCGAGCAGATCCTGACAGACTGCGTCCGAGGACATGCGCGCCCGAGAGGCTTGACCTGGCTCGTCGTCGCCGAACCTCGAGAGAGGCGACGACTCGGTCGAGGTGGCTCTCGCACCTCGAGCCCTTGTCGCTGCCCGTGCGTGCCCCGAGTACAGCAGCTCAAGCACGACAACCACGCTCGAACGCGCGCCGCAACCGCCTCGCGAGCCCTTTCCTCGGACGAGCCATCTCGGACTCGAGGCCTTGAACTCGTCGCTTCTGTCGGTCGTCACTCGCCTGAGCGCATGAGCTCGACAGCTCAGCCCCACGAGAACAGTGTACAGGTGCGCTCACGGCCCTCGCCCTGCCTCTCGAGCGAGCGCCTGACTGACCCCTCTCCTCCTCGGTCCTCCCCTCCCTCTCCTCCCTCCCCTCTCCTCAACCCACCTCGCCCCGACCGCCACACGACGCGCACCGACAACAGAAGGACTACGACACCGTCGAACTCACCGACGATCGCGACGACTCGGTCGGCCCCTCCTCGTCGGCACCGCTCCCCGCCGGCGCATCGCCAAGCATCCTCGCCGCGCCGACTCGTGCTAGCCCGCCACGCACCTCGTCTCGCCCGTCCGTCCCCACGTCCACGTCCACGTCCCGTGCGACCCCGCCTCAGCCGCCGCAGCAGCGCGACTCGCCGGCCAGCAGCTCGCAACGGTCCGGTCCCGCTCCTGCCGCAGGCCCCTCGTTCGCCGCCAACCGCCAGCCCCTCCTCGATCAGAGCCAGCTCGCACCTCGCGGCCACCGCTCGATGGACGTCTCGCACCAGCAGCCGCCGCCGCCGGTCGTCCGTCGCGACCTGCGCGACGACGAGCGCGCCAAGTCGCCTCCTCGCAAGGACGTCGTCCCTCCCGGCCCCGCTCCTTCGACCCCGCCCATCCCGACGTCGCCCGCACCAGCCCTCGACCAGCGCCAGGCCGACTCGCACGCCCTTGCCGCCGCCGACGACTCGCCCAAGTGGCCCTCGCATCCTCCTCCTCCTCCTCGCCGTCACCAAGTCTTCCCCCTCGACCGCCTCGATGAACCTCGCCCCAACCTCAAGCTCATCGCGGCGGGCCTCAAGCGCCTGGCGGCGGGCGGCCGCGTCGACTTCCCGCTCAGCGGCGCAGCGGGGCGAGGGCCGTCCGAGGAGGCCAAGGCCAAGAACCGGGCGGCGCTGGAGAAATGGGGGAAGAAGATCGCACCCGATGGGCGCGAGTTGATCAGGAACCGCCAGACCGACCGTACGTCCCTCTCTCTTTCTCTCTCTCTCTCTCTCTCGCCCTCTCTCTCTCTCGCCCTCGCCGAGACTGACTTCCCTCGCCCGCCTCGTCGCAGAATCGGCCGCCTCGTCGAGCGCCTTCCCCGACTTGCCGCCCGCCCCGACCTCGGGCTCGCGCGCCGGCCCCACCGCCGCCGCCGCCTCCGCCAGCTCGTCGACCGCCCAGGCGCCGCGCGTCGTCCACCAGAACGACCCGCAGACGGAGCCCGAGATGCGCGTCGCCATCGAGCAGCAGCTCCAGGTCGAGATGAAGCTCGAGGTCAAGGACGAGGACGAGGAGGCGGCCTACCGCGCGACGGCCGACGACACGACGGCGAGTCGCGGGAGCAAGAAGAAGAAGGTCACGGTCGTCGAGTCGACTCCGAGCGACGAGGTCAAGAAGGCGGAGGACGACGAGGTCAAGAAGGAGGAGGACGACGACCACGCCGGCTCGTCGCAGCGCCCGAGCGTGCCGGCGATCGTCGCCGAGGACGAGAAGAAGGTCGAGGTCAAGCCGTCGGTGGCGCAAGACTTCAGGCCCAAGGTGCGCTCGGTCTCCCTCTCTTTCTCTCTCTCTCGTCGGTGCTCGACGAGCAGGACCCTGACTCTCCCTCCTCCCTCCTCCTTCCTCCCTCCTCCCTCCACCCTCGACCCTCCTCCCTCCTCCCTCCTCGGCGGGCAAAAAGATGCCTCGCGCTGCCCAGGCGTCGAACGACAAGGGCAAGATCAAGGTCGAGAACAAGAACGCGCCGTTTGACCAGGTCCACACGCTCCTGTTCGAGACGTTCCTCGTCGGCCGCCAGCACGTCCCTCTCGACCACCGGACCGGCCTGTACACGCTCCTGTACAGCGCGCTCGCCAAGCCCAAGTTCACGGTGCGCCGCAAGTCGGCCCCCAACGCCGAGTCCGAGGTCGTGTGCGAGTTCCGCCAGAAGGACGTCGACCGCGTCCTGTACTGCGACGAGCGCGACGAGTCGTCGATCCCGTACCTCGAGTTTGGCTTCAACGAGTCGAGCACCGCCTTTGAGCAACTCGCTCGCGCCTGCGGTACTTCTTCAGACGGTGCGTCTCGAGTTCTCTCGCCCCCTGTCTCTCGAACCCGTCCCCGCCAGCCGCCTGACACCCGACCGCACCGCCAACAGGCATCGACGCCCGCCGCCGCACCGTCGTCTTTCCTGTTGACGACTCGCCGATGATGATGTGGAAGGACGAGCCGAGAACCGCGGTGGACCACGTCTTCAAGTCGTGCGCCGACGCCTGGCGTTCGACCCGCTCGTCGTGCGTCGATCCTCTCCCATCTCTCTCTCTCTCTCTTGGCGCCTAGCGTGCCGTACGTCAAGGACCTGACTGAAGCGTGTGTGCCCGCAGCCGCAGCGAGGCGGGATTCACCAAGTTCTGCCTCGACGGCAGCAGGCGAGCCGCCAACGACCTCGTCGACAAGATGGACAAGCGCGCCGGCAAGCAGTCGGGCACGACCAAGCCCAGCCAGTCGAAGCTCATGTGCGCCTCGCCTGTTTCTCCCTGATCGTCAGAGGCAGAGAGGGCGCCCACCCTGACCCGTCGAGGTCACCGTGCGCAGCTTCCCGAACGCGCCCGTCGCCGCCAAGGCGCCTCGCCTGCACACGGACGCCGCCGGCGACCACGTCGAGAGCGAGGGTGGACCTTCTCGTCGCAGCAGCCGTCCTCCGACCTCGGCGTCCGCCGGCGACGGCCAAGTCGCAGCGGCGCGCAAGACGCTCGCCAAGCCGCGCTCGGTCTCTCCTTACGGCGCAGAAGAGATGTGCGTTCCCGCCCTTCTCTCTTCTCCTCTCCTCTCTCGCCCTCCTGACCCTCTCGAGCTGCGCGCAGCGTCTTCGAGTACCCGATGCACGAGCTCGACGCCGTCTCGGTCACGTGGGGCGACACGAAGCGCCTGCGCGACGAGGGGTTCCTCAACGACACGCTCATCGAGTTCGGCCTCAAGTGCGTCCCTCTCTCTCTCTTCTCTTTGTGACGTGCGTGACGCTCAGGACGAGGGACTGACCCGCCCCTCTCGCGCAGGCGCATCATGGAGAACATCGAGAAGCGCGACCGCGGCGTGCCCGACGCCGCCAAACTCGGGCCGCAGATCCACGTGTTCAACTCGTTCTTCTACCAGCGGCTGTCGATCAACAAGGACCTCAAGCGCGGCGTGGACCCGTACCTGCTCGTCGAGAAGTGGACCCAGCGCGTCGACCTGTTCAAGAAACGCTTCATCGTCGTGCCGATCAACGCGGCGTGCGTCGTCCTCTTTCCCTGCCTGCCCTCTGCCTGCCTCGCGCACCCGGTCCCTGACGTCGTCGTCCCGTGCACGCAGCCCGCACTGGTACCTCGCCATCATCGTCAACCCGAACGCGATCACCAAGCCTCCTCCTCCCGCTGCCGCATCTCGCAAGCCGGTCGCCGCGGCGCCGATGGCGTTCACGCAGCAGGACTCGGAGCTCGGGCGGCAGGAGAAGCTCGCGAGGGAGCGCGAGGAGGAGGAGGAGGCCGAGCTGGGCGAGAAGGTCAAAACGAGCGCCGACAAGTGCGTCCTCCTTCCTCTGCGCCCTCGTTCACCGGCCGGAGTAGGCGTGTACTGACTCGCCCTTGGGTCGTGCGCAGGTGCTGGGTCCTCACGTTCGACTGGCTCGGCGCGCCGCACGAGCAGGTGGCGAACCGCGTCCGCGACTACCTCGTTCGCGAGGCGGCGTCCAAGTGGGGCCTGAACGAGACGTCGCCCGACGACGTCCAAGTCGTCAAGGTCAATGTGCGTCGTCGACGTTCCTCTCGCACCATCTGCCACCATTGCCGCCGGAAACTGACTCGCGCGCCCCCTCCTCCCTCCTCCCTCCTCCCTCCTCGCAGGTCCCGCAACAGCCCAACTCGTGCGACTGCGGCCTGTACCTGCTCCACTACGTCGAGACGTTCTTCAAGAACCCGCAGCTGTACCTCGACGCGGCGCTCGCGGCGCACCTGGAGCCGTCGTCCAAGAACGAGGACAAGGGCAAGAAGGACGTCGTCAAGAAGGAGCTCGAGTCGCAGTCGTTCGACCTGTGGAAGGGCGACGTCGCGCAGCAGAAGCGCGCCGTCATGCGCGTCGAGGTCGAGCAGCTGCGCAAGGCGTGGCAGAAGGTCATCGCGCCGCTGCGCGAGAAGGAGCGGCTCGAGCGCGAGGAGTACAAGCGGCTGCGGGCCGAGGAGCGCGAGGAGGAGCGCAACCGCGAGGAGGCCGAGCGCGCCGCAGCTCGCGAGGTCGAGGAGCAGCAGCACGGCGTGCACCACCGCATGGCGCCGTCATCGTCGTCGAAGGCCGAGGCCAAGGGCAAGCCGTCCGCGCCCGACCTCGTCCTGAGCGACAGCGAGTCGGCGCCGGCGGGTTCGTCGAGCGCGGTCGCCAAGCTGGTTTCGACGACCTCGACGGCAATGCCGCGAGACGAGCAGGCCTCGCGCGGCTCGTCGTCGTCGGCGCTCGTCCAGACGCAGCAGCAGCGGTCGCACCACCTCGTCCACCAGCCGCTCTTCGACACGGGCCCGTCGTCGTCCTCGTCGTCTTCGGAGCGTCCTGGCGCCTCCCACGACGAGGGCGAGCCCCGCCCGGGCAAGAAGGTCAAGGTGCGCCACGCCACGGTCGACTCGCCGCAGCCGCCGGTCGACGGTGACCCGGCCCCGGCGACGCGCAGCAAGACGACGGCGACCGAGACGATGGTGCTCGAGGACGACTGAGCGTGTGCGGCGTGTGCGAGAGCGGGCGAGGACGGGTCGACGAGGAGGACAGGAGGCGCTTTTTCTCAGAGTTGCGGGTTTTGCCTGTGGGGTCTGGCGGGCTCGTACATAGTGTCGTTGCTGTCACACGCTTGGTCTGCACCTCTGTCTTTGCCTGCGGCGAGTTGTGCAAAGGTGAATCGTGGGCCCCGCTTGTCGACGAGCGCTGCGCCATCGCCTCGAACCAACCTCATCAGCTCTCGTCTCCTCACCGCCACCGAGCCTGAGCCACACCATGTCGGCCTGGAAGAACTACCTCTCGCGCAGCATAGACCACCTCAAGGCCTCGTCTCAACAGGGTCCGTCTCCCCCTCTCTCCTCCCTCCCTCCTCATCATCATCCTCGCTCACCTCACTCTCTCCCGACCCACCCACAGTCCTGCGCGCCAGCCCCGAGATCCCCAATGGCGCCGTCCTCCCACTAGTGTCCCTCACCACCCCGGACGACATCGCCAACTTTGCCCTCGGCTGCGACGCCGACCTCGGTCCGTCAACTCGCTCCTCCCACTCGCCCTTCCCTCTCTCTCACACTGACCCACCACCACCCGCAGGCGGCCGCAGCACCGTCCACCTCGACCTCGGCCCAGAAGGCAAAGGCCGCTTCTACGGCACCCTCTCGAACGACCTCAACCCGGGCCGCCGCAAGCCTGGCGTCGTCGAGCGCGGTGGCTACGCCGGCTTCCGCAACAAGCAGCGCACGTCCCTCTTTGGCACCCAGACCTGGGACACGAGCCTCCACGATTTTTTGCGCCTCAGGGTCAGGAGCTCGGGCGACGGCATGCGCTACTTTGTCAACATCCAGACAGAGGGACCCGGTGCGTCCCATTCTCTCTCTCTCTCTCCTCTGTGTGCGACTCACTGACCGGCGTCTCCACCCCCTCTTTTCCTCCGTCTCGCCCCCACCACGTCCGCTCGGCCCCCCTCTCGCCCTCTCTCTTGCGCCCTCCCTCGCATCCTCCCGCTCGCCCGCCGACCCCACCCACCGACAGTCCGCTCCGACCTCTTCCAGCACCGTCTCTGGCTCCCCTCCCCTCCCACCGACACCTCCCCGCACTCCTGGACCGACGTCCTCATCCCCTTTTCCGATTTCGCCCTCACAAACTCGGGCGACCTCTCTGCGACCCAGCTCGACATGCTCCGCACCGAGGTGCGCACCGTCGGCATCTCGGTCCTCGGACCGCTCGAGGGCCGGTACGAGTTGGGGGTCGAGAGGATCGACGCCGTCAGGCTCGAGGGGGACGAGGCGCAGAGGGCGAGGGAGGGACGGTTGGAGGGCCTGCCGGAGCAGAGGGGCGCCGATGGGGAGAAGTTGTAGAGGGACGCAGGGGGTCAACGTGTACGAGTCGGCTGTGCGCGTGCGTGCGGCGAGTGTGCGCGTGAGAGAGAGAAAGATGGTGTCTTGCTCGCTGTTCTTCTCGCTCTCCTTCTCGCTCTCCTTCTCGCTCTCCTTCTCTCGCCAGGCGCTCCTCCTTCTCGTCCGCGCCTCTCAGCCTTTGCCCATCTCGTTGGTCTGTCACGCCCGCCGCTTCGCTCTCGCGCATGCCGCCGCGCCTCTCTCTCTCGCGCCGCGTTTCTCCCCCCCCCCCTCGAGGATGCCCGCGGCCCTCCCTCGTCCTCGGCCGCACGCGCCGCTCTCGCTCCTTCGCTCGCTCCTTCGCTCGCTCCTTCGCTCGCTCACTCGCTCGAGCACGACCCCGCGACACACCCCGAGCTGATGCGGTGCGCGTGGCCCGTCGCCCGCTCGTCCACTCGGAGCCCGCCGCGAAAAAGCGGTCCGAGCCCCCTTCGTCTCCCCCTCGCTCAGCTCGTCGCACCTCTCGCTCTCGATCTTGCTCTGCGGCTCGCCTCTTCTCGTCGCATCGACGAGCGTGCGCAGAAGGAAAAGAATAATGACGGGTACAGCGAGGGGGCGCGTCTAGAGAGAGAGAGAGAGAGACCGAGAGAGAGAGAGTAAAGGGAAGGCCCGACTCGTCCGTCGCCGACCGCCCGCGTCGCCGCCAGCTCGGCGGTCCGTCGCTCGGTACATACGCGCCCTGCTGCCCCTCGAGCGGCGCCGCACGCCTCGCGGCCCTGCCACCTCCTCGCGGCCATCCCGAAGCCGCTCTCTCCCCCTCTCCCTCCCTCCCTCCCTCGCGCACGACCTCGCTCACAGTCCAAGCAGCCGCATGATGGCGTACCCGATCGTGATGACGATGGCAGTCGCGCCGATCGAGGCTGGGACGCCGTTGCGGTAGAAATCGCCCGGGTAGAGGTACCTGGGCGTGTGGGCGGGCGGCGAGGAAGACGAGGGTCGAGAAAGGGACGAGAGTGAGAGGGTGTAGGGCGAGAGGAGGAGGGAGGAAAGGATGGTCGAGGCGAGAGGAGGGAGGAAGGAGGAAATCGAGTCAAGTCAGTCGCCGATTCTTGCCGCCTCGCTCGCTCGCTCGCTCGAGAGAAAGGGCGAACAGAGCGCGACGCACCTCTGTCCGAGCTCGTCCTCCTGGTTCGCAGCCGCCAAGTTGGGGAAGCCCGAGATGGGGAGCGCCATGCCCGCAGAGCACACGAGGCTCGTCGCAAAGATGAGCAGGCGCGGGTGCGGCGTCTCCATGGCCGAGCCGATCTGGGCCGCGATCGGGACGACGAGGACGGCCGCGATGCTGCGGGCATACGAGAGTGAGACGAGGGCGAGGGCGAGGTCGAGAGACGGGACGAGGAGGACGAAGAGGTTCGTCAGTGCGAGACGCCGAGGCGAGACAGGAGAGAGAAAGAGGTCGCAGACGCACGTGTGCGAGATGAAGGTGCCGATGACGAGCACGATGACGCTGAACAGGGCGAGGATGGGCCAGATGTCCATCCCGAGGACGACGTCCTGGATGACGGCGTCACTGCGAGGGAGGGAGAGAGTCAGTTCTCTGCTCGACTGCGACGCGCTCCTCGAGTTGAGAGCGCAAGGTCGCAGGCGGGGCGACGAAAGGGGGAGAAAGGGAAGAAGGGGCGGCAGAGGAAAGGGAGAGCGTGAGGACGCACATCTGGTCGAGGAGGCCGGACGAGAGGACGGCCTTGCCGAGCGCGATACCGCCCATTGCCAGGAAGACGATCGACCAGGGCGAATGATCGAAGTCGGCCTGTATGGGAGGTGGTCGAGGACGTCAGGAACCCGGCCCCGAGGAGAGAGGAAGGAAGGAGGAGGAGAAAGGCGACGACGCACCTTGCGCAGGACGCCGCTGCCGTAAAAGGCGACGATCGGGAGGATGGCGATGATGCCCATGTCGCCGAACAGCCACGCGAGCTTGGTCTCGACGCACCACAGGATGATGGTGCCGACCGTGACGCCGCTGACCCACCACTGGGCGCGCGTGAACGGCTCCTTGTTGACCCGGACCGGGTTGATGGCGACCGAGCTCGTGCCGGCGCGGTAGGTCCACAGGAGGATGCCCCAGATGAGGCACACGCTCAGGAACGACACCGGGATCGAGACGCTGAACCACCCGAGCCACGAGATGGGCGGGTTCATGTAGTCGAGCGCGATCAGGTTTTGCGGCGACGAGATGGGCGACGCCATACCGCCGACGTTGGACGCGAGCGCGATGCCGAGGATCAGGGCCTTGCTGAACGGCGACTTGGACGGGAGCGTGCGCAGGATGGGCTGTTGCGAGAAGGGGCACGAGCGACGGCGACGAGTCAGTGCCAGGACTTGAGGGCGCAACTCGAGGTGCGTGTGAGCAGGCCGTGGACCCAGGTGGGTCGGGAAGAGGGAGGGAGGAAAGCCCGAGGGCGAGAGAGGGTGAGGGAGACGCACCTGGATGAGCGAGTAGCACAAAACGGGCGCGGCCACGTTCGAGATCCACATGCTCGCGAAGCATGCGACGAGCATGTAGGCGAACAAGATTGACCTCGGACGAGTGCCGGCGAGCGAGAGGACCTTGGTGGCGAGGACCTGGCGGGCCGACGAGGGAAGACGGGTCAGTTCGAGGCCGGCTCTGGAGGAGAACGTGGAAGGGCGGACGCACCTTGTCGATGTTCTGCTTCGAGAGTGCGGCGGCGAGCGTAAAGCCGCCGAGCAGGAGCATGATGGTCGGCGAGAACATCTGGCCAAAGATGAACTTGGTCGCCTCGACGCTCGTCAGTCGGCGGTCCTCGCCGTCGGTCGACCTCAGGACGCGCAAGATGACGACGAGGAACGGGACCATGAGCGCCGTGACGAACAGGGGCATGATCTGCGCGATCACCAAGATCAGCAACCGTCTCGACGGGCGAGATCGCTCGAGGCGAGAGGGAGGGGAACGAGCGCGACGCACCTCGAGGGCCCAGAAGACGGTGACGACGACGAGCAGGGCGAGGCAGTTCTGCTCCTCGACGCGGTCGAACCACTGGCAGCTGAGGATGATGCCGAACAGGAGGAGCGCGACGGCACCGGGCACCGTCTGGCCGTTGACCCAGCTCGGGAGCCGGAGCCGGCCGAGCGGCGTGCTCAGCTCTGCGGGCTTGAGCTCGAGGCCGCTCGGCGGGCTCGCAGGCTGCACGACAGGCAGGCCCGTCGTCGCGCCCGCCGCCGTCCCTCCCCGCCCGCCGGCACCCGTGTACCCGCCCGAGGCCGACCACCCTCGGCGCTCGAGGCCGATCATCTCGCGCCAGACCGTGTTGCGCTCCCACACGACGTGCTCGCGCAGGTGCGCCTTGAGCTGCTTGAGCGCGAGGTCGACGTCGCCGCCCGTCGCGAGGTCGGCGTACAGCGGAATGATGGACTGGACGCCGCCCTGGAGGCGCTGCTGCGTTGCGCGCTCGAACGGGAACGTGTGGTCGACGACGGTCGTCATGTAGTGCTGGCGCAGCGACGAGTTGGTGATCTTGTCGTACCTGTGAGGGGCGGGCGAGTCAGGGCACGCTCGAGGTGGGCGAGAGGGGAAAAGAGGGACGCACTTCTTGAGCACCTTGCTGAGGCCGGTGTAGTTGAGGTCTACGTACTGCTTGAGCTCCGACAGCGTCTGCGAAGGAGGAAATTGTCAGGGTCGGGTCGGAGGATGGGGCGAGGACGAGTCGAACGAGGGAAGGGGAGGGACGCACCGTGAACAGGCTCGCGAGCCGGCGCTTGTACATGATGCGCGTGTCGATCGCCCAGTCGCTCAGGCCCTCCCACACTGCGCCGCCTGCCGCACCGCTCATGAGGCCCTCCTCCTCGGTCGTGAGCAGGCTGTTCGACATGCGGCTCATGCCGCGCTTGCTCGACAGCCGAGGGCGGCTCCCACCGCCGCGCGCGAGGCCCGCCCGTGCAGGCTGCGGCGCACCGGCCCGCGAGCGGCTCTCCTCCTCGTCGGCGTCCGCCTCCTCCTCGTCGAGGGCCTCCTCGCCGCCGTCCTCCTCCTCGAGGCCGAGCAGATCGCCCGTCTCGCTCGCCGAGCTCAGTGCGCGGCTCCTGCGCCGCCCGAGCACCTTGCCCTTGCCCTTCTTCTGGTCGACGCTCGAGCGCCTCGCCGACTTGCGGCCGGCGCGCGACGCCTCGGCGTACTCGCGCGGGTCGTTGAGGATCTTTGCGAACGCGCCCTTCTTGCGCGAGTCGACGTCGTCCTCGTTGTCGTCGTCGTCGTCGCCCTCGCTGTCGGACCCGCCGCTCGTGGCCGTCAAGAGGCCGGCGCTCGGCTTGTTGCGCACCGTGTTGCCGCCGCCGCCGAACGAGCCCGACGGACGGCGCCCGGACGTGGCGGCGCGAGAGGGCGAGATCGACTCGGCGAGCGACAGGTCGGCGTCTTCTTCATCGCGCAGGCGCTCGAGGTCCTCCTTGAGCAGGACGAGGTCGCCGAGGAGTTCGCGCTCTGCGGAACGTGGGCCCGGCGTGGGTCAGCGACGGGCGCGCGACGGCAAGAGAGTGAGGGGAGAGAGAGTGGGGACGGACCCTTGTCGACGTAGAACTCGGTGATCTTGTGCAGCTCCTTGTCGAGGAGCTTGGTGAAGGTGCGCTCGTTGGCGTCGCTCGAGGTGCGCTCGGGCTGGCCGACCGACGACGACGACGGCTCGGCGCCCTCCTCCTCGTCGCGGTAGTGGGTGGCCGGGCCCGTGGTGGTGCCCTGGGCGAGGACGGCCTGCTTCTCGAACTTGTAGATCTGGGCCTTGAGGGCGTCGTAGCTGCGAGCGCGACGCGGGGGGAGCGATCGAGATGAGCGCGAGGTCGTGCGGGCAGGGGAGGAGAGAGGGTGGACGCACGCCAGGTAGTGATTGGTCCACTCTGGGACGGCGTTAAACAGGAGGCTGTGGCTGAACTTCATCTTGGCGCCTGGTGCCGGAAGTCGGCGGCGGACGAAAGGGAGATGAGGTCGAGGGCGAGTCGAGGTGGGCTCGGGGTGCGGGTTGCGCAGGGGCTGGAGCTCGAGGTCGGTCTCGGTGTCGGGTGCTGGCGGTCGAGATAGTCTAGTGAGGCGAGGGAAGAGAGCTGCTCCGAGGCGACGACGAGTGCGGGGGGAACGAGGACGGTCAGCTCTCGGCTGGCGCTGCTCGTGCCCAGCGCGTGGACGGGCGGCTCACCGAGCAGAGGTGGCATTCAGCAGGCCATGCTTGGTGCAGGACGCGACGAGTGAGGGTGAGCCAAGCCCTCGTCGCTCCTCGTGAGACTCGAGCTCTTGTCGTCCGGCTTGCTCTCGCCTCCACTCGTCGCTCTGCACGCACGGGCCCGTCTGTCACGGCCCTGCACTGGCGCACCGCGGCGCACTTGCTCTAGCCGAGGCCCGCTCCGGGCCACGCTCCCACCCTCGCTCCCTCCTTCCTCGCTCGTCGAGGTCTCTTGCCGCTGCCCGACTCGACGCGCTCTGGTCCGCCCTTCCCGCTACAAGCTCCCGACACACACACGGAATGGCAAGATCGAGCCGTCCTTGGATCCAAGGCGCAGCCCGCCGCTGGCTCTTGCTTCCGCTTCTCTGCCCCCGAGCCTGCGCTGCTCAGCTCGAGGCGCCATGTCCGCCATGCTGCCGCCCGCCCTCGACGCACAGACTGTGCCACGCTTTCTCGCTGCGCTCGACGCCTTCGCTTACCCGAAACCCGCCGCCGGCGGCTTCACGGCCCGGGTCGCCATCCTCGCGGCGCTCACGAGCCTGTGAGCCCGTCTCTCCTTCTCGTCCTTGAACCTCTCTGGCCACACACTGACGCTCACATTCCCGAAGGTCGATGGTCCTGAGCGTCGTGTACCTCGGCCTTCACTGCCAGTCCACCCTCGAGCGCCCTCGCCGGCGCTGTCTCTGGCTCGTGCGCTTCCTCGAGCGACCCAGCGGCCGCTTTCTCGCCATCAAGTGCGTCGCCTCTGTCTTTCCTTCATCCCCGTACAGGCCGTCTGACCGACAGCCGCACGCAGCACCCGACCCTCGTGGACCGTCAGCATCTTCCTCTACTCGGCGTTCCAGCTCGCCTGCGTCTTTGCGTACTGGCGCGCATACGGCTGCCACGAGTCGCTCAAGGCGTGGATCATCCTGCGCGCCTTCATCGGCGTCTTCATGTTCGCCGCCGCCTGGGTCATCTCGTGGTCCGGCCTCATGGTGCGTCCCGCTTTCTCGGTTACGCCCTTTCTCGTCCAGTCCTCCGACCAGATCGGATCCTGACGCTCTCTCACGCACATGCAGGCATTCTTGCTCGCTGTCGAGCCCGAAAAGGTCTACATGTCGGCGCGAGCGGCTAACGTCCTCTTCGTCGGCGGCGGCGCCCTCCTCTTCTCGGTCAACCTCGTGCGCTCGCGTTTTTTCTCCTCGCTCAGACCCACGATTGACTCTCCTGCGCGCCCCCAGGTCACCGCCATCGTGACGGCCAGCTACGGCGTGCGCACGTTCGACCGGTACCTCGACTTGCGGCAGGCGCTCATCGCGCTCGAGGCGTCGCTCGCAGGCCGAGCGCCGACCTTCCTCGACCTGCTCCCGCTCCAGGCGCCTCTCAACGCCCTCAAGACCGCAGAGAACGCCGCTCGCATGTGCGTCGCCCTCCTCTCTCTCTCAACAGGGGGTTCGAGCGCCTCATCGCAACACGTCACTGACCCTCTCCCCGCCCACGCAGCGCCAACGCCCTCCAGTGGTCCTTTGTCGCCGTCCTCCCGCTCTTCATCCTCGCCGTCGACCTCGGCGGCCTGCTCCTTTGCGCGAGGATGCGCCGCCAGATCCGAGAGAGCGTCGAGGTGCTCGGCGGCTGCGCGCCGGCTGGAACAGCGGCGCAGGCGAGCGACGCACTCGGGGAGGTTGCGGGCAATGAGGCGCCAGAGCGAGGGAGACGTACATGGTTCGGGCGACGTCAGGTGCGAGGGCTTGCTCGGCGGCAGGGGCGCGAGGCGTCGGCGGTCGAGCGGGCGCAGGCGCGCAAGGTCCTCATCTTCCAAAAGGCCGTCTCGGACCTGCAGACGGTTCGTCCACTGTTCTCTCTCGGCAGCGGTGGATGGCGCATTCCTCGAGGCCCGAGCGCTCACGGCCTTCTCAAACCGCACCCGCAGCTCGCCAGTGTCGTTGCGTTCGTCTCGCTGTGCGTCCTCGGCATCGCGATTTGGGCAGCTTACAACTCTGCGAGCCCTCAGTACGAGGGCGTCAGCTGGGGCTAGTGCGTCCCTCTTTCCCTGTCCCTCCCTCCCAGGACCACCTGCTCACGCTCTCTCGCCCGCAGCCAGGAGGCGCTCGCGACCGCCGCTTTCTGGGTCTTCACCCTACCTGCCACCGTCGCCCTCGTGTACATCACGCTCAACGCCCTGCGCAGCCGACGCCGCATCGCCGACCTCGAGACGGTCGCCCGCTCGTCCTCGCACGCGGTCGACGGCGACGTTCAGGGACGCGCAGGCGTGGCGAGCGCCCAGCTCGGCCTCGTGTGCACGACGTCCGACCCGAGTAGCGTCGGCGCAAGTCTCAAGAACCCAGAGCATCCGGCGCTCGTGCTCTCAGTCGACGTCGGGCCAAGCGCGCCGTTTGAGAAGGTCGAGACGACGTCGCCGCACGTGCCGCTCGCGGCGCTCTCGTCGAGCGCGCTCTCGTCGCCGACGTCGATCGATTCGAGCACGAGTCGCATGTCGCTGCGGCGCATGAGCAGCTTCTTGCGTCGTGGGACGGCGCGAGCGGTGCGGTCGAGCGGGATCAGGCCGGACGCGAGCGGTCGCGGCCTTCTTCTGCAGCGGTCGTGGCCACGGTCGAGCAGGTTGTCGTGACGGACGATGGCGACGATGACGCAGGAGGAGAAATGTGGCGAGGGGCTCAAGGCGAGCCGAGCGGGCCATAGCATTTGCAACGACGCTGGTTCTCTTTCAACGCTCGCGGTCTCTCTCTGCCGCACGAGACAGGATCGAGTAGAGACACGCAAGGTACAAGCTCACGAACAAACAGCATCTATGGCAAAGCCGTCCCTCCCTCTCACGCCCTGACCCCTCACAGGCCCTGCTTGATGCGCAGCGCGAAGTTGACGATGACGCCGAGAAGGATGAAGCCGCACAGCGCCGTCGGGCCAAAGTAGTCGTGGTAGTTGACTGCTTGGCGGTTGCTGTAGACGTGGTGGAGGGACGGTGAGCGTGACAGGGGGAGGAAGGAGGAAGGGGAGGAGGACGCACCGGATCATGCGCACGCGCCAGGTGTACATGCCCGCCGTGTACAAGATCGAAAGGAGCGCGACGGTCGTAAAGATGGATGAGGCGGCGAGAGCGATATCGTCTGTCGAGGGGAGGCAACGCGGCCGCAGAGAGAGGGTCAGGGCTCGGCTCGGGAGGAGGAGAAGGGGATGACGAGCGACGCACCGTGCGGGTCCGAGAAAGAGAGGATGCCGATGCCGATCGCTGAGACGACGACCGAGAACTCAATCCAGGCGAGGGCTGTGAAAGGGAGGGAAAGGGTCAGTCGACGGCGAGACACGGAGAGAGGGAGAGAAGAGGGACGCACTCGTGCGCTCGTTGGCGTAAAACACCTTGGGCTCGACGCGCACCGGGATCGCGATTTTCTTGCCCTGCTGCGCCCGGAACGACGACACGTACTCGACCCTGCCCGGCGTGAGCGAGATGCCCGAGCCGTTGTTGCCCTGCTCGCCGCCCGCCCGTCCTCCTGCTGCTGCTCCCTCGCCGCTCGAGGCGGCATGCCCGCTCGACGAGCGCTCGTTGAGACCGCGGTCCCGGTCGAGCGTGTACCGCGACTCGACGAGCTTGGACAGGTTTGCGGCGTGAGTTTCGGGAAGAGGTCGGCCAGCGGCTTGCCCGACGACGACGACGGCTTGGGCCCGGCGGCCGTCAGGTGGCTGCGGTCCTGCTGCCCGCCGGGGCCGACCTGGAGCTTGGCCTGCGCGTCGCGGAACGCCTTGGCCTCGGCGGCCGCCTGCGGGTCGACGTCGGCCCAGCCAGCCTCGTCCGACGTCGTCGCAAAGTGCCGGTTGCCCTCGTCGTCCTCGTCGTCCGACACCGGCTCGGTGTACTGTGCGAGGTCGGCCGAGCGCACGTCGGACGGCGTGCCCGAGTTGGTGCCCGAGCCGGACGTGATCGGGCGCTGGATCTGCGCCTTCTGCGTCGCCGGCTTGCGGATGTCGGTCCTGCGGTAGGCACGCGCCGAGTTCGTGAGTGTCTGACGAGGGCGAGAACGAGTGAGAGAGACGCGGGGGACGTACTCCATTTGCGGGAGCCAGAAGGGGATGAGGTCGACGCGGTTCGGGAGGAGCGTCGCGCAGCCTGTCGACGAGGGGGAAGGGCGCTGTCAGTCAGGGCCCCGACATCGAGGTCGGAGAAAGGCAGGGACGGACCGTGGATGAACTTGCTGAACTTGGGCACGGCCTCGACGAGGTGGCTGCTGACGAGCTCGCGCACCCACTCGGGCGGCTCCTGGCCCATCTGCGTCTGGAGCTTGACCTCGAGGACGCCGTACGGGAACAGCTCCTTGTCCTCGTCGGGCAGCTGCGAGAAGGGCCAGTCGATGCCGATGTCGGTCCGGCGCCAGTTGTTGCCCGACCGCTGGCGCCCGTCCCAGTTGTCCTCGCGCACGAGCGACAGCTGCGTGTCGAACGAGATGCGCACGCGTGCGTCGCCCGGGAGCTGGAACGCCGTGCGGTTGTAGAACGTGCGGACAACTGCGGGCGCGCGAGCGAGAGAGTCAGTGACCGCTCGGACCTCCTCCTCCTTCTCCACCTCCTCGACGACCGTCGCTTCTGCCGCCGCTCCTCCTGCCGCCGAGGGTGACAAGCATGGACGCACCAGGGCCGAGCTTCTTGTGCTTGATGGCGGCCTGCACCTCGCGCGCGAGCTTGATCATCGAGTCGACCTCCTTGTCGCTCTTCTTGCCCTTCTTGCGCAGCTGCTCGAACGTCTCGTCCATCGTGTGCCGCCCTGCAATGTAGTCGTTGACGAGGTGCTCGGCGATCGGGAACCGCGCCTTGACCGACTTCTCGCCCGTCCAGTCCTCGCGGTGCGTCTTGCGCTCGACCTGCTCGGCGACGACGAGGGTCAGTGCGGCGCTTTCGAGGTGGACGACAGGGGGACGCACAAAGATCAGCTTGACGCCCATGCCGCCGTACCACCGCAGGCGAATGGCCTCGGCGCCCTCGGTCTTCTCGAGCCGGCCCATGTACAGGTCGAGGTCCTGCAGAATCGCCGAGAATCGTCAGTGGACGGCCACGCAACATCCAGATTGAGAAGAGGGCTCACGGCATTGTCAAAGTAGACGGACGTGATAGCTGCGTCGTCCTGGGCAAAGGCCTTGTCGCTGTCGAAGACTGTGAGGGCGCACGAAGGAGATTTCCTGGGTCAGGGGACGATCTCGAGGGCTCTCGGCCGCAGAGTTGGCGACGTGGTGCTCACCGAGGATAGGCAGGTGCTTGAGGATGACGAGCTTGAGCTGGACGTAGTTGTCGGGGTGGACCTGCGGCAGAAGGAAGGAGAGATGAGTGCTCGGGCCCCTCACGCTCGCGCAACACGCCATCTTGCCCTCGGCTTGACCGGGGCGCACACACACACACAGAGAGAGAGAGAGGTGGACGCACCCAGTACTTGGTCGTCTGGCGCACGAACGCGCTCTGGTTCCCGCCGGCGCTCGCGTCGCCCTGGACCGGGTTGCCGCGCGTGCGCACGAGGTTGTACAGGCGCGAGAGCTGCACGATGATGGCGTCGAACGACTCCTTGTAGAACGGCCTTTTCTCGAGAAAGTCGCGCATGAACTGGCCCTTGAGCGTGAAGCCGGTGCGCTTCTGCGAGCGGCGAAGGAGGGAGGGACGGGTCAGGATTCGGCTCGAGGAGGACGAAAAGGGCGTGAGGTGGGACGCACGTCGTGCTTCTTGACGATCTTGATGAAGCCGGTGTAGTTAAGGTGCGAGAAGTGGCCGAGGTCGTGCACGTCGGCAATGACGTTGGCGAGGTCCTCCTCGAGGTCGACAAAGCGGTCCTCGAACTCGTCGTCCGACGTGTCGCTCATGCTGTCGTCGGTCGCCTCGGCGCCCTCCGGGTCGTCGCCGTGCTCGGCGGACGGGCCCTCGCCGTTGTCGTTGCCCGAGGACGACTCGCGGCGCTTCGACTCGCCCGACAGCGCGATCAGGTTCTTGACCTCGTCCTCGTAGTTGTCGATCTTCTCCGTCAGCTCGGCGATCTGGGTGCGTGGTCTAGTCGTCAGTCTCTGGGTGAAGCAGGACTTAGACAGGCGGGCGAGGACCGGATCTTGGACCTCGTCCCCCATCTCGCCTTCTGGTCGCCACAGACGAGTGAGCAGGTGCGCACCTTGGTCTCCTGGAACTTGGCGACCTTCTCGAGCTCGCTCTCGAGCGCTGCAGGGAAGGTAAAGGGAGGATCAGTGGCCTGTCGGGCGCGCGAGCAGGGATCTGGACGAGGACGGACCCTTGATGAACTCGGCCTCGTCCGCATCGTCCCACTGCTTCTTGGCCTGGCGGTCCTTGATGAAGCGCTTCAAGCCGCCGTCTTTGAGCGGGCGAACAAGGTAGTTGAGCGAGGGCGCAGTCGGAGGAAGGGGGCATGACGAGGTGCGGACGGACGGGGACGAGGTCAGCGCGCTCACACGGCGGCGAGAGGACGCAGGGGACCGTGTCGGGACGCACAGTCGATGTAGGACGCCTGCCAGTCCTGGTCTGCGGTACCGCGGGGCAGAGGGAGGGTCAGCTCACTGCGCCAAGATGAACGAGCGGGCGAGGGGAGGGAGGACGCACAGAGGGCGTCCTTGATGACTGCGCCGAACTGTAGGGCGGGAGGGCAAGGGCGAGTGAGTGCAGAACGCGCAGGACCGGCGGCTGAACGGGGCGCACCTTCATGGTGTCGAGCTGATCGAGGTTCGAGGCGAGAAGTGGGGACCGGCGAGTGCGAGGAGCTCGAGGCGAGGGAGCTGCTGGTCGGTGGTGCGGTGCGGTAGAGGAGAGCTCGGCGGAACGAGTGCGAGCTGCAGCTGGCTCGACTCGGGGTGAGCGCGAGCGGTTCCACGGCGGCTGCCGTCCGCCTCGTCTGGCCCACGTGCGGCTCTCTCCCTCTCCTTCTCCTCCTTCGCCCGCTCTCTGATCGGCGATGTGCTGCACGCGACGCTGCCCCATGCTTGACTCTGCTTCTCCTGCGCCGCTCGCACGACGTCTCCCCGCCCTTCCCGCTCAGCTTGACGCTCCTCGCCGTCGACTCGCTCCGCCCGCGTCCCTCCTTGTCGGATCGCGCTCGTGTGGCACGGGCAAAGCTTCAGCCTGCGGCCGTGTGGCTCGTGCCCGTGGCCGGCGGGTGCGCAGCGCACCCAGGCCTCTGGCCCGCGACCCAGGCCGAACAAGGGCTCGTCGGCGCAGCTCTTGGGCTTCTCGCGCTGCCGCGACCGCCGCGCGAGCGCTCGCTGTCTCTTCAACGGCGACGAGTCCCAGTGGGTGTCCTCTCACGGCAGCCCCTGGGCTTTTGGCGACGACGGGCGACCGCTCACCTCGCGCTCGGGGTCGTGCGCGCGCCTGGTCCCACCAGAACTCGACGGCACGGCGTGTACGGCGCGCCCGCTCGGCTCTGCGCACGTCGAGAGTCTCGCGGCGAGGCGTCCTGTGCACGCCCGAGGCAAAAAGAGGGTCGCTGCGCGGCGCGAATGCGGCCAACGGCGCCCGCGCTCGATCCGCGAGCGCGAGCCTGCCCAACTTTTGTAGCCAGCTCGTCTGTCGCGCTCTCGTATCGCAGAAAGAGTAGTGTAGCTTACAGTGAGGCGTGCACTGCGTCGCTCCGCCTTCCGCAGAGTCCGACTCGCTGCCACCTCGCGCTCGTCCGCACGCTCCTCCTCTCTCGGTCCTCCACCATCCCCTCGCTACCGACGCGAGGATGAGTGCTCGCACGCGCACGGCTCGCAAGAGCACGGCGAACACGTTCAGCTACGCCGAGCTGCCCTCGAGCGGCGACGAGGACGAGGACGAGGAGTTGAGCGAGTCGGGACGCGGGGGAGGAGGGCGCAACAGCAAGGCCAAAGGTGCGTGGGCGTATGGGACTGCCTCGAGGACCCTCAACTGACTCTACTTGACCCCCTGCAGGTCCGACCAAGCGCGCCAAGGGCAAGGCCAAGGCGGTCGAGGTCGACGATGGCGACGAGGGCGATGAAGACGTCCAGCCGCGCAAGAAGGCTCGCGGGCCGGCCAAGGGCAAGCAGCGCAAGCATAACAAGGCCAAGGGCCAGCTCGAGGTCTTCAAGACGCTCCCTGTCGAGATGATCACCGAGGTGCGCCCTCCCTTTCCTCCCCCCTCCTCCTCTCGGACTCGACCTTGCCTCGGGCTCACAGCTGACCCTCCTGCGCACGAGTAGATCTTCTCGCACTTGTACCCGAACGACCTCCTCGCGCTCAGCATGGTCAACAAGGAGTACCGCGCGCTCCTCACGGCCAAGTCGTCGGCCCGTCTGTGGAAGGCCGCTCGCGACAAGCTCAAGCTGCCCGACGTCGTTACCGACCACTTCAGCGAGGTCCAGTACGCGAGCCTCGTCTTTGGGCGCAACTGCCAGGTGCGCTCTCGCCCTCTCCTTCTCCCACTCGTCGGCCCTTCCTGACCATCATCCTCCTCTCCCTGCTCCAGATCTGCGGCATCAGCAAGTACGTCTCGCTCGACGGTCGCCTGCGCCTGAGGGCCTGCAAGAGCTGCCGTACCCAGCAGTGCGTCCCCATTTCGTCCGCTTCGCAGCGGGTCAGCCACTGACAGCGACTTTCCCTCTCGCAGCTTCGTCAAGCTCTCGTCCATCGAGCGCACGCACCCTGATGTCCTCGCCAAGTTGCACCCACGCGCTCAAGACGTCGTCATCAAGTCGGGCGGTGCGTCCCATCGTCTCACGTCTGCCGGATCGAGCGAGATTGCTCGCAGAGCTAACTTGTCTGCACGGACAGGCTACGTCCTCCTGAGCGACCTGTACCGCGCCACGGTCATCCTGAAGGACCTCGAGGACCAGGACGAGGACGACGACATCGCCGAGGGCAACGTCGCAGCACCTCTCGCGCCGTCGCCGACGCCGTCGAGTGGCCGCAGGCGCAGCTCGCGCGCTCGCTCGTTCAAGACGTGGACGCCGCGCCAGGACGACATGTCCGACAACGAGGACGACTCGGCCTCGCCGTACACGCGTCGCGTCAACGAGTACATCGTCGCCCGCTCGGCCTTGTTCAAGGAGATCAACGAGGTCCGTCCGTCCTTCCGCGACGTGCCACGTCCCTCGTCGTTCGAGACCTGACGCCTATCCCGCAGCACGCCCGCAACATCGCTGTGGCGTACAAGACGGTGCAGGACCACGTGAGAATGGTCGGCTGGGAGGTCCACCGGCAGCGCTACAACCGCATCCGTTTCAAGCAGCTCGTGGACAAGATCCTCGACCTCGATCTGGGCTACGGCGCTTACGAGTACGTCCTCGCTCCCCGCTCTCTACATCCGTGACTGGTCCTGACGGGTGCCTCTGCAGCTTCTACGGTTCGTGGTCGAGGAGCAAGCTCGTCACGTCGCCCGACCCGCTCACGGACGAGGGTGCGTCCGAGCTTTCTCCCTCCTCCACTTCTCGTCAGCAGTGAAGATGGACAGTCTGACGTCGCGCTCGATCCACAGAATGGGTCCGCATCAAGCCCGAGCTCCTTGCCCTCCTCGACCGCGACAAGGAGCGCCTCACCAAGCAGGTCGCGCGTTTCAAAGCCAAGTCCGAGCAGAGGAAGCGCAAAGAGTCGCTGCGCCCGCTCTACGAGAAGCTCTGCGCGTCGCTCCCCAAGCCGGCGCGCCCGTTCGTCCCCCTGTTCCTCGACTTTCTCCTCCTGCCGTCGGTCAAGGCGCTCTGGGGCGACAACGACGACGTCGAGGCGATGAAGCAGGCCTGGACCATGGCGCTCGAGGACATCAAGGACGAGGTCGACCAGTTCCGCCTCGACCTCGTTGCGCACGCCCGCTCGCTCGTCCTCGAGGCGACGACCGACCCGGACGACCTCTCGCACGGGCTCGATGCCGACGACCTCGACGGCGACCTCGACAAGTTCTTCTCGCTCGCGGCGTCGTTCGTCTGCTGCGACTTTGGGTACTGCCGGCGCCCGTCGAAGCGCGAGTACACGTGGCCGCCTCGCCACCAGATCAGCAAGGCGCACCGCAAGTTCCGCAACATTGGCCCACTCGTCGACGTCCTCAAGCACCTCCGCAAGTACCACGACGACGACTACATCCCGTACAGCGGCCACGGCGTCAACGCGCAGCCCCAGTTCCACATCTCGCTCCCGCTCGAGGTCGCGTGCGCCGCCTCGGCCCTTCTCGAGGTCAATCAGCTCGACCCGTCGACGGCCGGTGTCGCCGAGCTCGACCGTGCCGGCAAGAGCGTGCGCAAGTACGTGTGGGAGAACCACTCGTCGACCTGGCGCAACTACTCGGGCGAAAGCGCGTGGTTCGACCTCGTGCGTCCCCTTTTCTCTCTCTCTTTCCCCTCTGTCCCTCTCTCGGATCCGTCGAACGCGCTCTAATTCGCTCTCCTTTCGCCCTCTGCTCGATCGCGTGCAGCTCTACGCCGTCAAGAAGGAGGGCCAGAGGCTCGCGCGCCTCAAGCCGCCCGTCTACCTCGACCCGCCCGTCGTCGTCATGAACCCGGCCCGCAACGGCGTCGCTCCCGCCGCCAGCGACGACGACCAGCAGGAGCAGCTGGACGAGGCCGACTAGGAGGAGGAAGAAGGCGAGAGACGGGGCGCGAGCGGCGAGGACGGGCGGGCGGTGAGCGGCGGAGGAACGCGCGAGCCGGGCGAGGGGGACAGCTTGTGGACGCTTGTCGAGCAGCTTGAGAATGACGATGTGCGCTTTGCTTTCTCAGACGAGCACGAGTGCGAGTGAGAGTGGCGCTTTCCAGCTCTCGGCGGACGGCGCGGCGGTGCCGCTGCTCGCTGTCCTCGTCTCGCCTCGGGGCTCGTCGCTGCATCTGAACAGCATGCTGAGCTAGTACTGCACGAGCTGCACCCGCCTCCTCGACGCCCCGCGAGCGCGTCGTCTCGTCTCGGTTCGTCTCATCAGCTCCTCCTCGTTCCTTCCTCTCCCCTTCCCCCAGCTGACTCTACGGTGCGCGCACAGCTCAGCGAGAGATCGATACAGCTCTGATGCACCGCCCACGCTCGGCGGTGCAGCTCCCGCAGTGCCGGCTCGCGTCCGCGCCCCCTGTCCGTCCGCGGCGACGCGTCGGCCTCTCGCTCCTCGGCCGTCCTGTGCGTTTAGGAGGCTGGGGCGGCTCGAGCCGGTACTGGAGGGCGAGCTCGGGCCAGCGCGCGTCCACCGCTCTGCTACACGAGCGAGGCGCTGCGCTGCGCCCGCTGCGCTGAGCTCGGCGAGGGCGATCGAGGCCATCCGCTGCTCGCCGGTCCGTCTGCGTGAGTTCCGCCGCGCCGCCCGACGAGCACACCGACGGCTGTGGGGCCAGGAGCAAGCGCCCTCGCCTCGATCGTCCACGCGGCGCTCCTCGCTCTTCTCCTTCTCTCGCTCTCCTCCGGCACCCACGCGCGCTCTCGCCATGAGCCTCGCGACGACGAGCGTCAGCTCGACAACGACGGCGGCGCCCATCAAGATCCCTCGCAGCGCGCACGGCTCGCCCTGCGCGCTCCCCGTCTCAGCCCCACCGTCCCCTCCTCCTCCGCCTTCCCCCGCCTCTCTCTCGCCCTCGCACCTCTCGAAGCCCTTCCACCACCAGCCTCGTCCCACGCACCTCCTCCGACGTGCAACGACGCTCCGCCCACCGCCTCAGCAAACCCGCCCCAAGTTCGACCTCGAGTCGTCGTCCCCGCTCTCGCCCTCGGGCGCCGACAAGACGCTCCTCCTCGCGCGCCTCGAGCGCGCCAAGAGCACGCACGTCCTCCTCCGCGAGGGCCAGCCGGCGAGGCCGCTTACGTCGCGCGAGCTGAGGAGGCTGCGCCACGAGGAGGCGGGCGAGAGCAGCAGCACGGCGGGCGGCGCGAGCGGCGAGGGAGGAGGGACGACGGGCACGGAGGACCTCGAGGAGGGTTCGACGCCCGTGTCGCTCGCGTCGACGCCGTCGGTCCATGTCCTCGACGCGACCCTTGAGCAGGTCGAGCACGTCGAGCCCGTCGAGCGCGTGCAGGACGAGGTCGTCGACCCGAGCCGCGAGCTCGTCACGCTCTCTTCGGCCGCCGGCGGCCACTCGCTCCCCTCCATCTCTCGCCGCGATACCCTCGTCCCCTCGTCGGCGGCGTCTCGCCCATCCCGCACCGCCCCCTTCCCATCCCTCCTCTCTCGCCGCGCTCAAAGCTCGACGCACCTCGACCCGGCGCACGCCCAGGCGACACCGCTCCCGAGCCGCACCTCGCCGTCGACAACGTTCGGCGGGCACGTTCTCGCGCTCAAGCTTGCCGAGGCGGCGGCGGCGCAGCAGAGCCGCCAGAGGGCGGGTCCAGCCCCGCGCAGGTCGGCGTCGCCGGCGTCGCCGGCCGCCGGGCCCGGCCAAGGTCCGGCGCCGTCGAGCTCGACTGTCGCACGCAAGAAGCAGCTCGGCAAGACGCGCTCGCTGCCGGCGGCGGCGCAGTCGGCGCCAGCGACGCCGTGGCTCGGACCCTCGGCCGGCTCGCGCTCGTCGACCGCGCCCATGCCGCCGCCTTCCTTCGTCTTCCCTCCCGACTATCGCCCTCACGCACGCGCACACACGGCCACAACCTCGTCGTCTCGCGCCTCGTCCTCGTCCATGTCGTCCTCGCCCCAGTCGTCCCCGCTCCTGCGCCCCGTCGTCGCCGCCTCGGCCGGCGACCCCTCGGCGCTCACGCTCCACTTTGCGCGTCGCCCCGACATGCCGCGCAAGGGGAGCTTGGGCGAGAGCTGGAGCCGCATGTGCCTCAGGGGGGAGCAGCAGGGGCGCGTGAGCCAGACGGCCAAGAGCGTGTTCGGGAGTTGGGGGAGCGGGGCGGCAGCCGCCAGCATGGTGCGCGGGGCGAGCGACGCAGAGGCGGAGGAGGAGAGCGGCGAGGGCGAGAGCGGCGCCGAGGGGGACGACGAGGAGTACGAGCGGTCGCGCGTCAACGCCTCGGGTGCGCCCTCCTTTCTCTATCTCTCTCCCTCCCTCGCCTTCCTCAATACCGGTAGACTTACTCTCTCTCGTATTCTACCCACAGAGCTCTCCGTGTTCGCGTCACCCCGCTCCTCCTTCGCCTCCTCCTTCTTCACCTCGCCCCTCTCGCGCTCGCGCTCCCTCTCCTCGACTCAAGGCGACGACGCCGGCACCCGCACCCCGTCCGCCTCGGCGCCCTCGTCGACCGCCTCGCCCACCTCGTCCTCGCCGCCCAAGCTGCCTCTCCCGGCCAAGCTCGGCGGCTCGGCGGGCCCGCACGCACCTCGCGGGCGGTGGGAGGACATTGTCGCCGCGAGCGAGCCGACGCTGCTCCCTCTGCCGGCGCTCGCGCCGGTCCTCGGGCCCGTGCACGCGGCGCAGCCGAACGCGCTGCTCGCGGCCGGCGCTGCGACGGGCCAGGCGCAGGGTCGTGCGCCCGTCGGCGGCCTCGAGATGAAGAAGCTGCGCGCCGAGCAGGCGGCGAGGAGGCTCGCGGCGCTCGGCTCGAAGCCGAGTGCGACGAAGGGGCATGACGACGCCGAGGGCGCAGTGGACGATGTTTGGGAGAGCTCGTCGTCGGCGAGCGAGGAGGGCGGGCCGGCGTCGTCGGACGACGGCGAGGAGGGTCAGGCGGGGCAGGGGGAAATGAGGGGCGCCAAGGAGCGTGGGCTTGTGAGGGGCGGTGGACGGCGCCAGACGCTTACGCTGCGCAGGGGCTGAGGCGCGAGGGCGGAAGGAGGATGAGGTGGAAGAGGTGCGTGCGCTCGCTCTCCCCTCCTCTTTTCTCTCTCTCTTGATGGTCGAGCCTCGACTCATGCTCCTCTCTTTGCGCACAGGTGCCGCTTGCTTAGTTAGTTCGTCTCTCAGTCGCTCCCTCCTCTTTTCGTCCTCGCACTCGCACTTCCTCCTCTCTAGCAAAACCGGCGTCGTGCAGACGCTTTCTCTGCGGCCGAGTCTTGTAGATGATTGCGCAACCTTTGCGTCCCTCTCGTGTTCTCGACAAGCAGAAAGAGAGCGAGAGCGAAAGCGAGCAACGCGAAGAGGACGGACGACTCGGATCGAGAGCTCTCGCAAGCGCAAATTGAAAAGCGAACGCAAGGACTTGCACAACAAGGCTCTGCCAGACCTCGAACCCGCACCCCGACGCCCGCACTCACCGGCGCTCCTTGCGCTTCTTCTTGTCGCGCTTGTCGTCGTCGCGCCCGCTGCGCTTGGACGACGCGGCGCCCGAGACGTACTTCTGGCCCTTGGCGATGCGCTCAAAGATGCGGCGCGCCTCGCAGTCGGGGAACGCGTTGACGTTCTTGTAGTCAAAGTACGACGCGCCGAACTCCCACAGCCTGGGCGCGAGGAGAGAGAGGTCAGGGCCGGTCCGGCGTCGAGAGGCGCTAGAAGAGAGAGAGAGGGGACGCACCACTCGGGCCTCGTCTCGGTGACGGTGCGGATAAAGTTGCGGGTCGTGAGGACAAACTCGTTGTAGATGACCCACTCGGGGTTGTGGTCGAGGCCCGTCGACGGGTGCAGGCCGACGACCTGCAGGTCCTTGATCGTCATGTACCCGTTCTTGTCGCCCTCGCGGTGCGCGACTTGCATGAAGAAGCCCGCCGTGAGCGCACGCTGGATGTTGATGTAGTACGACTTGTCGTCGAACGAGGTCGAGACGAGGTCGCTGCGCGAGGGAGAGTCAGGAGATGGTCGACAACGAGGTGGGTGGACGGGGACCGAGAGAGGAGACGAGAGACGCACAGGTCCATCTTCTCCATCGAGCGCTTGAGCTGGTTGCGGACGTTGTCGGCCTGCTGCATGGCGCGATGCGACACGTAGTTGTTCCAGCACCAGTTGGCGTCGGGGCCTGCGCGCAACGACGACGACGCATAGTCAGTACGGGTCGCACATGTATGGACGCAGGGAGAGAGGGAGAAAAGGTGACGCACTGCCCTTGTACGCGTGGTAGAGGTTGAGGAGCGACAGGTGGTCGCCGCTCGGGTGGGCAAACTGCGCCTTGGCCTCGTCGGCCTCCTTGCGCTGGCTGTTGGGGCGCAGGTACGGGTTGGGCACCGACAGCATGGCCGCGATCGACAGGATCTCGTTCGAGCACTTGAACTCGGGCGAGACGATGAGCATCTTGGCGAGTTGGGGCTCGAGCGGAAAGGTCGACATGAGGTCGCCGAGCGGCGTCAAGTCTGCGGCGCGAGGGACAACGAGAGAGGGTCAGTACGGCTCGCAGACAGTCGAGGAGGGAGAGAGGGACGCACTGCCGTCATCGTCGAACGCGGCGAGGTAGTTGAGGAGCTCGAGCGCGCGCATGACCGTCTCGGGTGCTGGAGGATCCATGTAGTCGAAGTGGACGAGGTCGTCGACGCCGAGCTTCTTGAGCTCGAGGATGACCGACGCGAGGTTGCACCGCAGGATCTCGGGGTACGTCTGCTCCTCGAGCTGCGAGCGCGAGAGCACGAGGGTCAGTGCTCGTTCCCCGGGTCGAGGCGAGAAAGAGAGAGAGAGAGCGGGACACACCTCCTTGACAAAGTCCGACTCGGTGTACAGGCGGAAGCACTTGCCCGGGCGAGTACGGCCGGCACGACCGGCGCGCTGGTTGGCGCTCGCCTTGGAGATGGGGCTCACGAGGAGCGACTCGACGCGGATGCGCGGGTTGTAAATCTTCTGCTTCGAGAAGCCCGGGTCGACGACGTAGACGATGCCGTCGATCGTGAGCGACGTCTCGGCAATGTTGGTCGAGATGACGACCTTGCGGCCGGGCGGGCCGTCGGGCGTGCGGGGCGGCGGCGCCTTGTCGAAGATGCGCTGCTGCTGCTGAGGCGGGAGCGACGAGTACAGCGGGACGGCCTTGAGCGGGCCGAACTGGGGCCCGAGCTGGTCGGCCTCGACCGTGATCTTGCGGCACGCGTCCTCGATCTCCTCCTCGCCGGTCAGGAACACGAGGATGTCGCCTTCTGGCTCGGCCTGGTGGACCATGAGCACGGTGCGGATGGCGGACTCGAGGTAGTCGGGCTCGGGCTCGGGCGTGTAGAAGCTGTACGAGGAGGGACGACCCAAAGTCAGTCTTCCCGCCGCCGAAGAAAAAGGGAAAAGTCGAGGGAGACGAGGGACGCACATCTCGACGGCGAACGTGCGACCAGGAACCTTGAGGAGCGGTGCGCCGAAGAAGTAGTTCTGGAACTTGGCGGCGTCGAGCGTGGCGGACATGACGACGATCTTGAGGTCCGGGCGCCGGCGCGCAACGTCCTTGAGCAGGCCCATGAGGATGTCGGTGGCGAGGGTGCGCTCGTGCGCCTCGTCGAGGATGACGCACGAGTAGCGCGACAGCATGTGGTCGTTCATGGCCTCGCGGAGCAGCATTCCGTCGGTCATGTACCTGCGCGCGACGGTCTCGAGTGAGCTTCGCCTGGACGCAGGGAGAGAGAGAGACGCGGCAGACGCACTTGAGGAACGTGTTGGGGCTCGTGCAGTCCTCAAAACGGATGCTGTAGCCGACCTGCTCGCCGAGCGGAACGTCCATCTCGTCGGCGACGCGCTTGGCGACGCTCATGGCGGCGACTCGTCGAGGCTGCGTGCACGCGACCTGGAGGCCCGGCCGCCGCAAGTGCGGCAAGTCGGCGTAGGCGACGTACTGCGGGATCCTGTGGGCGGGCGAGGTCGAGGTCAGGAAGGTGCGCCCAGAGGGGCGGCAATGACGAGGGAGGGACGTACTGAGTCGTCTTGCCGGACCCGGTCTCGCCAGAGAGGACGACGAACTGGTTGGCGTTAAACATCTCGAGGAACTCGTTCATCTGCTGGTGGACGGGGAGCTTCTTGCGGACGGCGAAGATGTCGGCGTAGCGCTTGGAGAAGGGTTGGAGCGTGAACGGGTTGATGTCGCCGGCCTGCAGGACAGTGTGGAGGGTCAGCTTTGTACTGGCGTAGACCGTGTCTGTGCCGCCGCGGCGAGATGCGAGACGAGCGAGGACGAGGACGGTCCCGCTCGTCGTCGCGGGTTCGAGACGGCTGGGGGATGTGGTTGGGGTGGGAGGGAGGGAGAGTGAGGACGCACCATGACGGCCTCGACGTCCTTGCCGCCCTTGGTCCTGGGCTGCCAGCCGTCGAATGGCCTCGCGCCGGGAGGAGGTGCGCCAGGTCCGCCCGTCATGCGGTCGCGCGGGTCCTGGACGTGGGCGAGGTAAGGGTTGTCGACGGGTGCGTCTGTGCGCGGGCGCTTGGAGATGGGCTCGTCAGCCATGGCGAGCTGAGAGGGTGGAGACGAGTGGCGGCTCGGACGCCTCGGACGAAGCTCTCGAGCTCGAGGCTGCCCCGCTCCTCGGCTCCTCACGCCGCCGTCTCGCTGCTGAGACTGGTCTGGCACACACGCTAGCTCTCCTGGCTCATCTCTCGAGTGCCTCTTGAAGTCCCGACCCTCCTGGACCCCTTCGCCGTCGAGCATCGCCCGCCTCCTCGCCTCATCTCTCTCGCCAATCTGTACGTCTCTCCCTCTCTCTGCGGTACCGAGAGCGCGCGCAGGAGCCTCAAAGTCGTGCTGACTCGCGTTCCCTCCGCGCAGAACGATGCAGCCGCGACGCAGCAGGGTTCGCTCGACACGCTCCTCGACCTTATTGTCGACTTCCCCCTCGACGGCACGATTGAAGGGGCTTTGGCTGCAACGAGGTCGTCCTCACTCGAACTCGATGTCACCGTGCTCTTCTTGTGCTCGAGGGCGCGCGCGAGCACCTCGACATGCTGCGCGAGACAGAGCGAGGACCTCTTCCCGTCGCTCTCGCCCTCGCGCCTCGAGCCGCACACGAGCTGTCGCCTCTCAGAAGCGCTCGACCTTCGCTTTGAGCGCGCCGAGCGCCGCCGATCGTGAGGCAAGACGAGCGCCGACCAATGCGTCTCCCGCTCGAGCTCTCCTCGTGCTCGCCGTGGACGACCTCCCTAATCTTCCTCTTGCCGCCACGCAGCACCGAGAAGACGGCGTTCGCCAAGTTGGGCGAATCGACTCGTCTTCGACCTCGTGTCCGGCCAAGAGGTGCGCTCCTTCAGTCTCTTGTCATCGTCCTCGAACCCTCGAATCCTCGACTTACCCTCCTCATTCCGCCCTTCCTCGCCCCTCTTTGTCCTCTCTCGTCTACTCGCAGTGCCGCATCATGGACTTCTCGGGTCGCTGGCCCTCGCTCCACCGCCCCCAGATTCGACCTCCTCCTCCCCGTCACGATCGTCTCGGAAAAGTGCCGCGCCGTCACGACCAAGGTGGGCGTCGAGGCGCCGGCCGACATCATCATTCGTCCTGTCGACGGCTCTTGGGGCGACCGAGTACCGGTACCCGCCGTCGGTGCACAACGGCGAGGGCGACAGCCTCGTCGAGCGGCTCGAGCGCGACGACGTCAAGACCTACTCGACTGTGCGTCCACTCTCACCTCTTCCTCTCACGCACGTTCTCGACTGACGATAGAGCACGGCTGCAGGGTCGATGGCGGCGTCGCACCCCTCTCGCCCCTCGCAGTCCCGAAACGTCGACTCGAGCTTCGGCAAGCGCACGACCCTCTGTGCGCCCCGCCACCTTCTCCCTCGTCCTCTGCCTCTCTCACGCCGAGACTGACGCCCTTGACGCCGCCCGCAGCTTCCTCGAGCGAGCCCGAGACGCGCGAGACGTCCAAAGAGCGCTTCGTCTGGTCGGCCTGCGCCTGAGCGCGCTCTCCTTGCTCTTTCCCCCTCCTCGCCCCTCTCTCTCCTCTGTGCCCTTCCTCCCGCGCTCTATGTGCAACGCCGGCTCTTCCTCGTCTCTCAACCCGTCACGCCCCGGGAGGGCTCCGTTCGTCGAGGCAAGCGAGCACGTCCCGAGAAGGCGAGCGAGGCTTGTCGAGCGACGAGTTTGACGTCCTCTTCTCGCGTGCATGCACCTCGAGAGCGTCGCAAGAGCATGCTGCGACTCGGCGACTGAGCGAAAGGGAGCCGTGAAGCGGGCCTCGAGAGCTCAAGCCGACCGCACCTCGTCGACCTCTCTCGCTGAGCGGCGCTTCTCCTCGCGCTGCAAGTTGTCGAGAGCGCACTCAAGCATGCCTGAGAGAGTTCGAGATGACCTCGAGCTGGAAGCGAGCAGAGGGAAGCGCTAGCGAGAGCAGGTCGAGGCTCGAGCGTCGTCTCGCTTGCGAGCGCCGACTTCGAGCACGAGACGATCACGTCGCAGAGCATCTCTCTCTCGAGCCTTTCGCGTGCAGCTCGTAGAGAAGGAAAAGGCAATTGCAGTTATGGTACCAACGAGGACGGGACACTACTCAAGCTCAAGCGACAGGAGAAAAAGGGAAAAGGAAAGGGGGAGGGGAGAGGGAGGAGGGGGTGTACTCACTCACTGCACTCGGGCGGCCCACCAGTGGGAGCCGACGCGGTCGACTTGGCGATGAACTCGTCGAACTTGGCGTTCATCTCCACCTTGTGCTCGTCAAACTTGTTCTTGAGGTCGGCGACCATCGCGGCGGCGGCGCTCGCGGCCTGCACGGGCACCGAGAGGGCTAGGTCAGCGAGGTGTCGACGGCGTGGCGCGAGAGGCGAGGACGAGGGGTTCGCGAGAGGGAGAGGGGGCGAGAGGGTGAAAGGGAGGCGTGCAACGAGAGGCGAGGAGAGAGGAGAGGAGAGAGGCGAGGAGCGAGGTGTGGAGAGAGGTGTCGCGAGAGACGCGTTGCGAGGGAGGGTGCGGGAGCTGAGAGGGATGGGGAAAGAGAGAGGCGAAAGAGGGGGACGCACCTTGTCCTCGTCGTCGCGGCGGCGTCAAAGCCCTTGCCGCTCCACCGCTCGCCGTTGGGCGCCAGGTCGGCGTGTAGTTTGCCGGCGCTCGACCTTGGCGTACGTCTTGGGGTTGTACGACTCGGGCCGCTTGTGGATCTCGGGGATTGTGTCGCACGACGTTCAGAGCGTGCCCTTGAGGTAGTTGCGCTCGATCTGGTCGACGATGTCGTGGCACTTGGCCTTGTCGGCAGCCTCCTTCTCCTCCTCCGTCTGCGCCGGGAGGAGAGGGCGGGAACGAGGTCAGCTCGTGTTGCGCGTGAGGGCCGACTCAGAGTCGCCCGGGGCGCAGAGACGAGGGGAGGGGCTCGGGACGCACGAGAACGGGTCTCGCGGCCTGCGACATGACGCCACGACAGGTAGAGAGGATGGTCCGGGTGGCGTGAGCTCCTGGAGAGGGTGCTGGGTTGGCTGATGGCGGGGGAGGGGGGGACGAGGTCAGCTGGCGCCAACGAGGGCGTGGAGAGAGGCGACAAGGGGCGCACAGGTTGCTCAGGTGGTGAGGTAAGTCTCGGGGAGGTTCTGGGGGTGCTCTGGCCGAGAGCAAGTAGGAGGTGAGGAAGAGAGCGAGGTGGCCCCGCCTCCTCGTCGACGACGACGACAACGGCGAGCTGGCGGGCTCTCCAGGGGCGCGAAACGAGCTAGACCTGGTCTCTTGACCCTGCTCGACAGCTTGCGCGCAATCGCATTCGCCCACGGCGTCTCGCTCGTTCCCCTCGTCGTCGCATCCACCCACCTCAGCTTTCCCTCGCTTTCCTCCCTCTCGACTCCACGGCTCGCATGGCGTGAGTCCTCCTTCTGCTCTACGTGAACGCTCGCTGACTCGCCTGTCCTGCAGCACCCCGTCCGCGGCCCTCCCCCTTCCCGTTTCCTCCTCATCGCTCCCCGTCCCCGCACCGCCCGCTCTCGCCCCGACAGCGACGACAACGACGACGACAAGCGCCGCCGGGCACGCGTGCAGGTGGAGGTTCTGCACAGTGGTACTGCCGTCGAGCGCAGAGCTGCGGGCGCACGTGCTCGCGCACGTCGACGAGGCGCATCCGGGGCGGCGGTGAGGGCGCGAGTGCTTGGTGCGAGCGAGCGAGGAGAGCTGTAGAGCCGCGCGACGAGGAGGACAACTGTCTTTGCATCGCAACGCGTCGGGTGAGAGGTTCTGCGAGACGAGAGCTCTCTCTCGGTCGCACGGCTCGCTGCTGCCAAGCTGCTCTATTCCACCGCTCTGGCCCTCGTCAAGCTCCGCCGCCGCCGAGCCGCTTGAGCCTCGCCTCTGCCGCCCTCGCGCGCTCCTCGCGCTCGACGCGCCGCTTCTGCTCCTCGCTCAGTCCCGACCGCTGCCGGTCCTGGATGACGGCGGGCGGGCCCCCTCCGAGCCGGTTCACGCCCGCCTTCAAGCTCGGCGCGCGCGCCTGCGCCTCCCGCACGCGCTGCTCCTCCTTCTCGCGCGCCGCCTCGAGCTCGGCGACCCGCTCGCGCTCGCGCACCTCGTCGCGCTCGCGCGCCTTGGCCCGGCGCTCCTCCTCGCGGCGCTCTTTCTCGAGCTCGACGCGCTCGTCGAGCCCGCTCGGGACGCGCGCCGCGCCGACCCAGTCGCACCGCGCCGGGTCCGAAAAGGCGACGAACCGGAACTGGTTGCGCGTCGCGCGCGAGCCGCACAGCTCGTACGGGGTGCGGCCGAGGGGCGAGAGGTAGGTCGGGTCGGGCGAGGGCGACGAGGGCGACTCGAGGAGGAAGCGCACGACGTGCGCTTGGTCGGCCGACGCGGCGCAGTGCAGGAGCGTCGGGGTGCGCTCGCGCTCGCGGGCGTCCCACCACGAGGGGAGCTTGCCGCGCGTCGTGCCCGGCGCGGGCGCGGCCCGAGCGGTCGGCGACGCCGATGGCGACGACGAGTCGGCGGCGGCGGCGGGACCGTCCTCGTGGCCCGACTCGAGCTCGGGACCGTACTTGTCGAGAAAGGCGCGGAGCGCGTCCACGCGGCCCTTGCGCACCATGTCGACGAGGCGGGTCCACCGGTCGCGCTCGAGCTCCTCGGCCTTTGTGAGCTGCGGCTCGGCGGGCTTGGCGGGCTCCTTCTTGGTCGACGACGAGGCAGGTGCGGGTGGCGCGGGTGCGGGCTTGGGCGCGATGGACGACAGGTACGAGGCGTCGAGGGCGGCGAGAGCCGAGGCCGACAGGTGCGACGTCTTGACGCGGGTGAGCTCGAGGAACGAGCGCATGAGCTCGTTGATGGTCTGCGGGGAGGGGCGCTTCGAGTGAGCTGGGTCCGGAAAAGAGAGAGAGAGAGGCAAAGGGAAAGAGGACGCACCGGCCGCTTGGTCGGGAAGCCGAACCCTCGAATGCGCGCGTCGCCCTTTTGCAACGGCGCGTCGTCGTCGTAGCCGAAGAAGGTGCGGTAGTTGTTCTTGGAGCAGCGCAGGAAGACGAGCTCGGACGAGCGGATCTCGGGCGCCCACGAGCCGAGGAGCTCGCGCACTTCCTGCGAGGGCGAGAGGACGAGTGTCAGTACGTACGGGCGCCTCCAACTTTTAACCAGAGCCCAGCTCGGCGAGGCGAGTGGTTGCTCGAGAGAGATAGAGAGACGAGCGCGCGACGCACATCGGTGAGGGCCGCCTCGTTGTGCCGGCGGATCATGGCGCCGGCCGACTTTGCCTTGCCCTTGCCCGAGTCGTTGGTGCTCTGCGCTCCTCCCTGCTTGCGACGAGCTGCGTGCGTCCCAAGTGGAAGAACCTAGTCAGTACGCTCCTCGGGAACCCAAGGGGCGACGCGAACGAGACCGAGAGGACGACGACGACGCACTCGTGTAGCGGTGGAACGTCTTCTTGGCGAGGACGACGACCTCGCGCTCCTTGTCCTTGCCCTTGCCCCGACTGACGAGCTTGGGCCGCAGCTGGACGACCATGCCGGCAAAGTGCCCGCCGCCAAACATGAGCAGCGTCCACTTGCGCTCGTCGCCGCCCACCGCCGCCGCCGTTGCTGCCGCCGCCGCCGACGATGGTGCCGCCTCGGGCGCGAGCTGGAGCGCACGCAGCTCGTCGAGGACGGCGCGGCCCTCTTCTGCGCCTGGGAGCGCGCGCTTGCGGGCGCCCGCGAGGGGAAGGGCCGCGCGCGCGACGCCGTACTGCGTCTCGTCGGCGACGGTCGGCGCCTCGAACCACTGGAGGGCCGTCCTCGGTCCGGCGAGGACGTCGTCGTCGTCGCCGTCGTCGCCGTTGCCGTCCTTGTCGGCGGCGCGCGAGAGGTGCGTCTTGCGCAGGACGCGCGACAGGTTCGAGCCCGACTCGGCGGCGGCGGTGGCGCGGTCGTCGTCCGAGGCGGAAAAGTCCGAGTCGGACGTAGAGGCTGACGAGGCGTCCGACCCCGAGATCGAGGCGCTGAGGTCTGTGAGGGAGGGGATGGTCAGGTCGTGCGAGGAGAGGGAGAGAGGAGAGAGGAGGGGGACGCACTGTCGACGAGGCGGTTAAAGTCGTCCTCGGCGACGGGCGTCTTCTTGCCTTCGAGGCGGAGCTTTACGTTGTAGCGGTACCAGTCTGTCCGGTAGTGGTGCTTGAGGCCGTCGAGGGTCGGGAAGGATGCGCCGGTGAGGGCGCAGGTGTAGTTGTTGCCCGGGGTGCGGGTGGCGGTTGGCGGTGGGGTGGCAGGGTCCTGGTCGACGAGGTCCTGGAGGCGGTTCGAGGGGTGGAGCGGGTGCGAGTCGGGGATGACGAGTTGGCGCGGCTGGAGGGCGGCGAGGAGGTCGGGCGGGAGCTGGAAGGCGTACAGGGCCTGCTGGGGCAGCTTGTAGGCCATCGTGAGGGCACTCTTGAGCGCGCTCGAGGCGAGAATGGTGCGCTCGTGGGTGGTAGCAGCGAGAGAGACGACTTCATCTCCGACTCGACGTCGACCACTCTCGCTCATCGTCTCGCACAGCAGCGACCCGGCTGTCGAGCTGCACACAAAGCCATGCCTCGGCTGCGCACCCGCCTCGCTGTCCAACCCTGGCTCTGCCCGCCCTCGCTCTCGATCGCCTCGCTTCCTCCTCGACCTCGTCCACTCGAGCACCGCCTCGCGTCCACATCCGCCAGACCTGACTCGAGATGGCCAGGCTGGATCCCGACCATCGGCCTCGAGCTCCACGTCCAGCTCAAGGGCAACCCAAAACTCTTGTCGCGTCCGTCCCCTCCCTCGTTCCCTCGTCGTCGTCTTCCGACTGATCCTCCTCCTCTCGCTCGCAGCTGAACACGCCGTGTACGACGACTCGCCCAACACTCACGTCGCCGCGTTCGATGCCGCACTTCCAGGAGCCCTGCCCGTGCGCCCCCACCCTCCCTCTCGACCTTCGTCCCCTCCCTCACCTCCCTCTCTCGCGCCCGCAGGTCCTCCAACCTCGTGCCGTCCGCCTCGCGCTCCTCGCCTGTCTCGCCTTTGACGCCGACATCAACCCGAGCAGCACCTTTGACCGCAAGCACTACTTCTACCCGGACCTCACCACCGGGTGGCAGGTCACGCAGCGCTACGGTCCGTCTCTCGTCTCTCTCTCGCTCGTTGCTCCCACCCCGGCGCGAGTCTCACGCTCCGACCGCACACACAGATCCACTCGCAAAGGACGGCGTCGTCAAGGTGCCGAGACCGCCGGTCAAGGGCGCAAAGGGCAAGGGCGCTCAGGCCGACGACGAGTACTTCTTGGTCCGGCTCGAACAGATCCAGCTCGAGCAGGTGCGTCCTCCTCTCCTCCCTCTCATCTCTCCCCTCCTCGTCCTGACCTCGAGCCTCTCCTCGCCCCGCCCCGCCTCGCAGGACACGGCCAAGTCGTTCCACGACCCGACCTTGTCGCCCTCGGGCGGCACCCTCGTCGACCTGAACCGCGCCGGTGCCGCCCTCGTCGAGATCGTGACGCGCCCCGACATGCACTCGCCCGAGGAGGCCGCCGCGTTCGTCAAGACGCTCCAGGCCGTCCTGCGCCACGTCGGTGCGAGCGGGGCCAACATGGACAAGGTGCGCCCGGCGGCTCCCGTCTCTCTCCCTCTCTCTCCCTCTATCCTCGTTCGCCGTTCTCGAGAGACGGTCAGACTGACTGGCCCCGCTGTGTGTGCGCAGGGCGAGCTGCGGTGCGACGTCAACGTGTCGGTCGCGCGCGTCGGGGCCGAGGGCGAGGACGTCGAGCGCGGCACGAGGTGCGAGGTCAAGAACCTCAACGGCGTGCGTTTCATCGCCTCGGCTATCGGTGCGTCCGCCTCTCTCCCTCTCTCGCTCGTCGGCCCCTCTCGCTCGCCCAGTCACCGACTCCTCGTCCTCCTCCCTCAGAGTCCGAGATCTCTCGCCAAATCGCCCTCCTCTCGTCGGGCTCGCCCGTCCCGCAGTCGACCCGGGGCTTTGACGCCCTCTCGAGCTCGACGTTCCACCTGCGGTCGAAGGAAAACTCGCCCGACTACCGCTACGTGCCCGACCCGGAGCTCGGCGCGCTCGTGCTCGACGCGCGCGAGCTCGACGCGCTGAGGGCAACGATGCCCGAGCTGCCAGAGGCGGCGAGGGGGCGGTTGAGGGCAAGGTACGGGCTCGGGAAGAGGGAGGCGGGAGTGCTGGTTGCGCTCGGCGAGGTGCCGGACGAGGGCGAGGGCGGGCGAGGCGGCGCGGCGCAGCTGGACGAGGCCAGCCCTGGGCTCGGCGTCAGGTGGTTCGAGACGCTCGCAGAGGGGCGGGACCCCAAGCTCGCCGCCAACTGGTCCGTCCTCCCCCTTCATCTCTCTCCTCTCCTCGCATCGCCTCGCGCACCCACTGACTCTCTCCTCCTCGTCCCCCTCTCCTCCCTCGGCGCGGCGCCCGACACAGGCTCATCCACACGTACCTCGGCCTCCTTTCTCGCGCCTCGCTCTCGCTCGCCCGCTCGCCCCTCGAGCCCGCCGAGCTCGGCGCCCTCCTCGACGCCGTCGCGCTCAAGCGCGTGACGACCACCGAGGCCAAGACGCTCCTCGGCGAGTACGTCGCCGCCGCCGCCGCCGGTGCGGGCGAGGCGACAGCCGGGTCGTTCAAGGTCAAGCTCGACGAGCTGCTCGCCTCGCGGCCTGCGCCCGGTCCCTCGTCCTCCTCGGCTTCGGCGACGCCGACGGGCGACGGCGGCGACGGCGCAGCAGGTCACGACGCCGCGTTTGCGGCCCTCATCGACTCGCTCATCGAGTCGCACCCGGCCGAGGTGGCCAAGGTCCGAGCGGGGCACGCCAAGGTCCTGCAGCGCCTCGTCGGCGCCGCCATGAAGCGCACAAAGGGCACGGCCGACGCCAAGCGCGTCCTCGACGAGCTCTCGAGGCGACTCTCGGGGCCGTCATGAGGCGCGAGCGAGCGGGTGGGCCGAGCGAGCGAGGGAGGGTGGGACCGGGTTGAACGGGGTCGAGGTTGCACTGCAGAGACGTTTTGCTAAATCGAAAAGAACAACAACGAGTACGGCTCGACTGAGAAGACGAGCGAGAGAGAGAGAGAGAGAAGAAGAAGAGAGGGTGTGGCACTGCTTGAGGGAATAAAACGAAGGAGAGAGGGGAGGGGCAAGAGGACGTTCTGCGGCGATACGACTGGGCGAGGGGCGAGGAGAGGTTAAGCTCTCGAGGAAAGGGGAGGGAGAGAAGGTGTGCGACGCCTAGACGAGCGTCTTGAGCGCCTCCTTGCGGCTCCTGCCGTGCTCGGCGTCGAACCTGGGCGTCTCGCCGACAAAGACGGTGCGGTCGCCACTGCGCTCCTCGTCGTAGTCGAACGTGGCGCAGTGCAGCGCCGCCGAGTTGTCCCAGATGCACAGGTCGCCCTCGGACCAGCGGTACCGCACCTGGGCGTCGTGCGCCTGCGCCTGGAGCCGGAACAGGTACTCGAGGAGCGCGCGCGACTCGTCGAACGTGACGCCCTCGATGCGGTCCGTGAAGCACTGGTTGACGAACAGGGCGTGGTAGCCAGTGACGGCGTTGGTCCGGATGATCGGGTCTGCGAGAGAGGGTCGACGGTCAGTCGAGGGACGAAAGGAGGAAAGAGGGAAGGAAAGAGGGGACGCACGCGAGGCCTCGAACGAGTCGTCGACGTTCTCGGGCGCACCACGCGGTCCGAGATGCAGGTCGAAGCCGTGGCGCTGGGCCTGGTGGCGGAACATGGCGCCCGAGTGGCGCGCCGAGAGGCCCGACAGCATGGCCTTCATCGGCGCCGACAGCTTGTCGTAGTGCGAGTACGACGAGTAGAAGAGCGTGTCGCCACCGGTCGGCGGGAGCGTGTGCATGCGGAGCATCGAGTAACGCGCCGGGCGACGCTCGAACCTGGAGGAGGGCGAGGGAGAGAGTCAGTACGAGACCTCGAGGGCGGACGAGGGCGAGAGGGACGCACGAGATGTCGGTGTGGATGCCCTGGCTCGCGAGCTCGGAGCGCTCGTCCTTGAAGTTAATCTGGCGGCCGCCCTCGTCGGCCTTGTTCGAGATGTTGCCGACCTTCGGGCGCCCGTCCTCGCCGAGCGCAGCCGTCGGGTGAATGTGCAGGTCCGAGTCGGCCGGCGCCCCGCTCGCGCGACCAAGAGCGTAGGCGAGCTTCTCGAGGTCCTCGGGCGACAGGTCTTGGGCCGGGAACGCGCACACGCCGTGGAGCGAGACTGCGAGAGGGAGGGGGAGGGGGGAGGGGCGCGAGGTCAGTACGCCAGTCCTGCTCGTCCTGGATCCGGCCAGAATGGGACGCACTGAGGTAGGCGAGCTCCTCGAACGTGGCCTGCTTGCGCTCGTCGCCCTCGGGGAGGGCGAGGACGTCCTTGAGCTGGAACTCGCGCTCGAAGCGGAGCCCGATCGCGGGCGTGAGCTGCTCGCGCTTGTGGGACGCGAGGTGGTGGGTCGCCGGCGGTGCGTAGCGCTCGCGGCGAGTGCGGGACGTCGCTCGTGACGAGGGTGCGGGCGAGCCGGGCGCGGTCGGAGGGGGCGAGGCCGGGAGGTGCGACGCGGCGGGTGCGGCCTCGCTCGCGGCGAGGGCGAGCTTGCGCGGTGAGGCAACGACCGGCGTGGGCTGGAGGAGGGTGGCGGTGGCCGACATGCTGTCCTGGCGGGCGCGAGAGGAGGGAGGGAGGTCGAGGTGAAGCGAGGTGTCGCGTGGAACGGGGCGGCGGTGGGGCGGCTCTCGCAAGATAGCGAGGGGCGAAAGGCGAGGCGGCGCTGAGCTCGGTGGCCTGGCTGGCGGAAGGCGAACTGCAGTGTGTCGGCGTCGAGGGCGAACGAGCTGACCGCGCGGCGTGCGAGCGGACGAGTGTTGTCGACGAGGGTTCGGCTGAATTCCACGGGCGGCGAGCCGAACGACGATGGAGATTCCGGTCCTGGTACGGGGCCTCGACTCGGAGCGTTTCGACGAGCGCGCGGAGACGCGGGGTAAACAAAAGGACGAGGTCGAACGACGACGACGAGGAAGGTGGACGGCGAGGCTCGAGCGGCCTTGCGAGTTGCGCTCTGTGTGGTCGCTGAGGTGCACAAGAGCGGCTTCGAGAAAGCGGGAGAGAAGAGCGCGGGGCGACAAGTCGAGGATCGTCTCGCTGCCGAGGTTGACAAAAATCGCGTGCTCGCTTGCGCCATCCCGCAGCTGCGAGTCGAGCTGCCACGTAGTTAGTTACGTCGCGCGCACGAGTCCGACGGTCACCTCGGACTCGTGACGTGAGCAGTCCCGAGCAGCGACCGTTACTGGCGTCCGAAAACCGAGCTTCCCGAGGACGAGCACCGAGGACCGTCGACTTGGGAAGGTCAACTCACTCGGCGTCCGCTCTGCTCCTCCTGAGCGGCGTTGCGCTCCCACCTTATGCCTGCGCATCGAGCGACGCTATGCGCACACATGCGGTTGCAGAGGAGAGCGCAGCTGCGCGATCCTCGCGGCCCATTGGTCGAGTCGGCGAAGCTTCGTCTGCGCTCGACTGCGGCGTCGTCTTCTGCGCAGCGTGTTCCGCTGCCTCTCGGCTGCATGTCTCCGACACGCCGGCTTTCGAGGCGGCGGGCCAGCCGATCCTGCCGCCGACGCGGACGGGCCGTCGGCTGCGACTACGTGCACGCACCTCGGATCCGTCGCGGCGGGCGACGGCGCCGCCTCGCACCTCCTCATCGCTGGGAGCCGCTGCACTTTCAAGTGCTCTTTGACACTTGCTCGGACAAGGGCGATGGCTTGCCCTCTCGGCGCGACTCGACCTGCGCGCGCATGCGCCTTCCTCTTCCGGGTCGGCCTCTCGCTTCTCGTCCAACGGCTCCATCCGGCATGGCGCCGCTGCGGGCATCGCGCTGTCCGTTGCTGCGGTCGCATAGCCATCTTCTCGCTCAGTTGAGCGACAGCTCAAAGCTCGGCGTCCGCGCGCCTCCTTTGCTCTCCTTCTCCCTCCTCGCTCGAGTCGACGAGCTGCTGAACGAGGTGAGCGAGTGGCGCCGGTTCTACCGACATACGAGCCGGTCTATCGCGAACGCTGTTCCCAGCATTGCGCGCGCTAAGCGGTCGCTTGGCCGCCGCGAGCCGGTCTAGTCCCGGTCGCGAACGCATCCTCGCCACGCTCACAGACTTCTTTTGGGCATCGTGCAGCGACGCTGACTCCAGTCGTGTCCTCACACAGTGTTCCTAGCCGCCACCTCTCGCCCTTGAGCCATCGACGCCCTCGCAACCTCCTCGTCTTCGCTCCCTCCTCTCCCTCCTTTCCGCCTCGTACACGATGCGCACCGCCCCTCTCGCCCTCCTCGCCGGGCTCCTGGCGACCCTGTCGTCTGCCGCACCGGCCGACGTTTCCGACACCGTCTTCAAGGTCGGCGATCAAGCCGAGAAGGAGTTCTTCGCCAAGCGCGACCTCGTCGAGCGCGCCACCACCTCGTCCTACAACAACCGCGCGACCTACAAGCCTATGGGCATCACTCGCACGATCGTCTACGCGAACGCCACGTCTAAGTGTGTCGCATCCGTTCGCCGTCGTCGATTCTCGAGACCGGAAAACTGACCTTCCCAAACGCACCTTCGTCGCCCTCTCTCGCTTCCGCTCTCCCTCGCAGGGCCACCGCCGTCTCCTCGAGCAAGGTGTCGACCTCTACGAGTGTGTCGAAGCCGTCGACGACCACCGCTATCGCCGCCGCCGCGCCCTCGTCGACGCTCGGCTCCGACATTCGCACCGCTGTCCTCAGCGAGCACAACACGTTCCGCGCGCTCCACTCGGCGCCGGCCCTCGTGTGGAACCAGACGCTCGCCGACAAGGCCGCGTCGTGGGCCAACAAGTGTGTGTTCCAGCACAGCCAGGGCGCGCTCGGGTGCGTCCAGTTTCGTTCGAAATCTGCGCGCACGAGCCTCGTCTGACGGCCCTCTTCTCCCCCTCTCTCCCCCGTCGACAGCCGCTACGGCGAGAACCTCGCTGCGTCTGCTGGCAGCGGTGTGACGGTCCAGACGGCCCTGAGCGGCATCAAGGCGTGGGAGGCCGAGGCGCCCGACTACACGCCCGACAACCCCAACTACTCGCACTTTACGCAGATGGTCTGGAAGGCCAGCAAGCAGCTCGGGTGCTACCAGGCGTCGTGCCCGGCTGGCTCGATCTTTGACGCACGCTACGGCGTCAACAGCGTGCGTCCTCGTCGTCGTTTTCTCGCTCGCATTCCTCTCGACATTCCTGACGGGCACTTCCCTCGTTCCTGCAGTTCCTCGTCTGCGAGTACGACCCTCCTGTACGTTCCTCTCTTCTTCGGTGAGGCAGCCCTCGACAGATGTCTGACGATCCCATTCTTTCCGCAGGGCAACGTCGTGCGTCGAGCGCGACTTCCTTTACTTCCTTCCGAACTGCGACTGACGCTTCTGCTTTTCTCTCCTCCTCGTCGACGTCCTCGCAGTACCCGGCGAGCAACGTACGTTATCGTGCCGCAGAGTCTCGTCCTTGAGTGCGCGAGCGGGAGCTGATTCTCTCTCCTCCTCCCTCAGTTTGCCCTCAACGTCACGCCCTAGACGGTCTCGGCCTCGTCGCGCTCACGTGTCGACGCAGAGTACCTCAGGAGAAGCTCGCGAGGCGAGAAGATGCAGTACACCCCGCCTCTCGCCCTCCCCTCGCCCCTTCTCTCGCTCGCACGGGCCTCGCACGACGGCCGCATTCGCATCTCCTCATTCCTCGCCCTTCTCTTCGTGTACTTCTCTCCGCAATGCAGAGCTGTCTCTCGCGTCCCCATCTGGCTTGCGAGCTGTCGAGGCGCACAAAAGCGCGAGCCTGAGAGAGCGAGAGCAAGTTCGAGTCGAGGAGTGGCCGAGGGTCGCTCTCGACGACTCGAGACGCTCGGCGGGTACATGGAAAAAGAACTGATGGACTTGCATGAAGGGTACAACAAAAGGATGCCCTCGAGGGGCGAAGCAGGCGCTCGCGTCACGTGGCGACGATGACCCCCTCTGGCAACCGCTCGACGACGCCCCTCCAGAGCCGCTTCATCTCGAGCGGGTCCGCCTCGCGCTTCCAGCACACGACGTCGAGGCCCTCCTGCTCGGCGCCGCCGTCGACGTCCATCCCGCCGCCCTGGCCCTGGCCCTGGCTCTGGGCCGCCGGGTCCGGCGGCAGGACCGACTTGGACACGAGGATGGCGAGCCACAGCTTCTGGTTGCGGCGGTCCCTCGTGCGGATGCGCACGCGCGAGAGGAGCGTCCCGAGCGCGGCCGACGACACGTGCTCGACCGTCGGCGCGGTCGGCGACTCGCCCGTGCCGGTCGGGGACGAGTACAGGAGCTCGAAGGCGGGCGTCGAGGTGGACGAGGGGGCGAGGGCGAGGGAGGTGAGGGCTCGGGTGAGGCACGACAGGAGGACGGGGAGGGGCTGGGTCGTGAAGAACCGGGTGAGGTTGGGGTTGGTGCGCTGAGTCGGGGCCATCGAGAGGCGCGACTGCGAGCGGGACAGAATGGCGTGAGTGGTACGACCTACACGATGAAGGTCGTCGAGCAGGTCTCTCGACATGCTCGAGGGCCAGAGAGGACGGCCGACGCACGTAGAGCTGGAGCGAGCTGCGGAAGCTCTGGTTCGGGTCGAGCCCGCGCTGGCTCATCTTCTGGCTGAGCGCCGGCAGTTGCTGCTGCGACGGGCCTTGCGACGCCATCATGCTGTGCGACGACGCCATCATGAGGATCAGTTCATGCCTCTAGGCGAGAGGCGGCAGAGCTGGAGAGGAAGGCGAGGACGCACAGCTCGGAGAACTCGTCGGCGGGCGGTCCGAGGTATTCGTGCGCGTGCAGGGTCGCGAGGAGGCGTCGAAGGAGCTCGTGCGGGTCCGAGACGAGGCCGGTCGAGAGGTCTAGAAGCGGGTTCGACCTGCGGACGGGGGGAGAGGGTCAGTCCTTGCCCAGACCTGGCGCGAACGACGAGGATGTACAGGCGCGTCGGAACGAGAGTGAGCGGAACGGCCAACTCACTGGCAATACCAGTCCATGCGCTCGATGCCCTTGAGCGTCGGGCGCTCTGTCGGGTCGACCGTGAGCATGGCGAGGAGCAGTTGCGCGACGCCGCTCTCGCTCGCCGAGCCGAGCCGCCGCCACGGCTCTTGCGTAAAGATCTGGCCCGACAGGAACGCGGCAAACTCGGGCGAGTTGGGCGTCGGCTCGTCCCAGGGCGTGTCTGTGCGCGGGCGGGAGGGAAAGGAGGAAAGGGCGGGGACGACGAGAAGGACCAGGAGGGGAGGGATGGTCAGTCCGAGGGCCAAGACGACGACGAGAAGCAGGTGGGACGCACTGCCGAAGAGAAGGGCGAACAGAAGGACGCCGGCGCTCCATACATCGATCGGCTCGGCCGCGTAAGGTTGCGGGCGAGCGAGCTCAGGTGCAGCTGCGGGAGGGCACAAGGGGTGCGTCAGAGTCGACGACCAACTTCACGAAGACCGTCGTCGAGGCGAAGCTCGAGGAAGAGTCGAGAGGATGAGCGCCGACGCACCGTAGGGCGGGCTCCCGCAGCGGTCTTTGAGCAGTCGCTCTTGGCCCTTGTACTTGAACACGGTCGCGAGGCCAAAGTCCGACACCTTGAGGTTGCCTGCCAGGAGAAAGCTAGGTCAGTACGAGGTCCCTGCACGCCGCCTGAACCGCGGCGCATGCGCCCTCGAGGAGCTCGACTCGTCGCCGAGGAGAAGGGAGAGAGGAGGACGCACCGTGTCCGTCTAGCAGGCAGTTCTCGGGCTTGACGTCGCGGTGGCAGATGCCATGCTGGTTGAGGTATTTCTGCAGGCGGCGTCAAGTCAGCTCGTCGCTCTGACCGACCAAGACCTCAAGCCGGCGCCGGCTCGCTTCGCGTGCATGCGCGCGCCGGCAATGTCCGTCTGCCATAGCGAGCGAGGGTTTGAGCTCACCAGGCCGGAGATGAGCTGGCGGAAGTAGAGGTGCGCGATGTCGCTGTCGACGCCGACGTCGGGCGCTGCGAGGCGGAGGGGAGAGAGGGAGGAGGCGGGTTAGCTCGACTCTCGTGCGCTCAGAACGCTCGAGGAGGGACTCACTGATCTTGTCGAACAGGTCGCCGCCGTCGGCTGCAGGGCAGAGGCAGACGTGAGCGCTGCTCGACTCGAGAGAAGTGTGCACCGCCCCCTCGGACGGGGACGAGGAGAAGAAGGGAGAGAGTGAGGACGGACCGAGGTCGAGGACCATGTAGAGCCCGCTCGGCCAGGTCGTCTCGCCGCCGCCGGTCGCCCGCACGATGCACTCGTCGCGCGTCTCGCCGCCAAAGAGGCGCAGGATGTTGCGGTGGTGGAGCGTCTCGTGGATGCGCATCTCGCGCACGAGCTGCTTGGCCTTGGCGGCGGTGGCCGGGTCCATGGCGGCGGTACCGCCTGCTGCTGCGCCTGGTGGGACCCGCAGGGGGACGACCTTGATGGCGGCGAGCTGGTCGGTCGAGGGGTTGAGGGCGCGGTAGACGGCCGACTGGCCGCCGGACGCGAGGTGCTCGCGGGGCACGAAGCCCAGCAGTGGCGGGAACGAGGCAATGGTGGCCATCTCGCTCCTGGTGCCGAGGCGTGAGAGGTGGACGCGAGAGAGTCGCTCGCGAGGTTGAGCGACGTCGGCGAGGCTTGCCTCGTCTCATCCTGCTCGCGGGAGGCCTGTCTTTGTTGCAAGCGTTCTCTGGCAGTATGACCCCGATCCAGCTGTCCAAGGCCGGCAGACAGGGCTTGTGCTGAGCTCTTGTCGGCGCGCGGAGGATGCGACCACCTCGAGCTGCCTCTCCTCTCTCGCTGGCGACCTGGTTCTGTGCGCAGGGCTCGTTGCAAGCTAGCAGCATGCGACCTGACTGCGCCAATCCCGAACCGCGAGAGGGGAGAGGTCGCTGTGCCGCCGAGCTCGTCGTGCAGCTTCGTCCATCTCTCGCTCTCGTCCACACCGCACCACCATGTCTGAACTCCGCGAGGCTACCCGCGTCGACTTCCTCACCGCCGCTTTCGGCAAGGAGGTCGCGACCCAGTTCGACCAGAACCTCGACGACGGTCCGTCCCTGCCCTCCCTCTCGACGAGCTCCACCTTGGCCCACAGAGCTGACGACCACCTTGCGCGCCCTCCCCGCAGCTTCTGCGGCACACTTCGAGGCCTGTGAGTCTTTTCTCTCGGTCGTCCGGTCAGCGGGTGGGCGTGACGGCGTCTCGGGACGAGGAGTCCTCCTTCTCGGCGATGAAGCTGGGCAGCGGCGTCAGGGCACAGAGGGCAGCGGCTGGGACGAGTAGGACGGTCCGAGACCGTATGCGTGCCGGTTGGACGGCTTTTGCGCTGGCGCAGCTGGCTGCACGCCGGCGCGACTTCCCCACGTGCCTTACCTCGTCGTCGAGACGGCGTGCGCGAGCCTGGACGGCTACCGACGCCCGCCCGCACGCCCACACCGGCCGCACAACCACAGAACACTGCTGACCCGCCCTCCTTGCCCGACAGACAAGTTCAAGATCGAGCAGCAGAAGCCCGTGTACAAGAAGCGCGCCGAGCTCGCCGCCAAGGTCAAGGAGTTCTGGTTCATGGCCCTGCAGCACTGCGGCACGACGTCGCAGTTCATCGACGCGGTCGACGAAGAGGCGCTCAAGGCGCTCAAGGACGTCTGGATCGAGCACTCGCCGTCGGACGTGCGCGAGTACGAGATCCGGTTCACGTTCGGCAAGAACCCGTTCTTCAAAAACTCGACGCTCGTCAAGAAGCTCACGCTCACGCCTCCGGCCGACCTCGCCGACAAGGCCGACAAGCCCAAGCCGTTCGACCTCGAGGCGCCCGTCTTCCTCGCCGACAACGTCAAGATTGATTGGATCTCGCCCGACCACGACCTGACCAAGAAGGCGCCCCGGGCACACGCCGACGACAAGGAGGAGTTTGACGAGTTTGAGGGCGCCGGCTCGTTCTTCAACTGGTTCGGCGAGGTCGGCGAGGACCGCACGAGCCTCGGCGAGAACCTCCTCGAGTGGTGGGCCCACGCGACCGAGTACGTCCGCCCCCTCCTCCTTTCGTCCTCGAGCACGCACTGACTTGGACTCTCGCAGGTACGCCGCCGGCCTCACCGCGCACGACGACGACGACGAGTCGGGCGCCGAGTTTGGGTTCGACAGCGAGTTTGACGACGAGTCGGAGGACGAGGACCCGAAGAAGGAGATCGACCTCGACGACGACGAGGAGAAGAAGCGCCCGGCCAAGAAGCAGCGCAAGTAGCTGTCGCGCACCGTCGCCCCCCCCTGTATCGCGAGCCGCATTATTCCTCTCAGCTGCGCCTCGCTCCCTCGGGCGCTCGAGCCTCAAGGTCGCCGACCAGAACACGATCTCGAAGCGCAAGAAGCAGGAAAAAATCACGCCGCTCTTCGACAAGTGCGTCCAGTCGCTCGGTAGCGCAGCTCGTCCTCGCCCTCCGCTCCGCCTCTCTCGCTCGTCGCCCCTCTTGCTCGAGCTTGCGCGCCAGTTCGCCGACGAGCACAGCAGCAGCCGACGTCGACAATGAGCTTCTACAGCACGGCACAGCAGACCTTCCGGCATCAAGCCATCGCGCTCGTCCGCGACCTGCGCAGCTGTGCCCCGGTGTCCGATCAGGCGGCGAGCTCTCGGTTGAACGCCGTGGAGCGCACCATCGACGTGACGGTCTATGACTGGCTTCCGCTCGAGCGCGACGCCATCATGGACGCCCTGCTTGCGCTGCTGTGCGACACGTGCGCACGACGCTCGTCCGGGAACGCCTCGTCGGTGCGTCCTCCTTCCGCCTCTCTTTCTCTCCCTCGCGTGGCAGTCCCTGACTCGCTCTCCCGCACACAGGAATTAGTTGCGTCGCTATGGCGCGCGGTCGCTGTCGCTGTCGCTGTCGCAACGCCGCCAGATCCAGTGCGTCCCCGTCCTCATCCGGGTCGAGGTGCACCTCCTCGCCCTGCGAGGCTCGACCTGACAAGCCCACCGTTTCTGCAGCCCGACGTCAACATCCCGTACGTGTGGGGACACATCTCGGACAAGGTGACGCAGCTCGCGAGGCCGTACACCAAGGCGATTTGGAACTGGCGCCGCGACTTCAAGAAAGGCATCTCGCGCGACAAGCTGCGACGGCTCGACGAGCACGCCCAGAACCTTCTCGTCCAGTGCTTCATGAAGCGCACGGAAAGGCTGTGGAGCACGGGTCACCCCGGCACCGTGCCGCCTCACCTCGCCGACTTTGTACGTCCCTCTTTCGCCGAGTCTCGCCGCCTCTCATGCCGAGCCAACTCTCACCTCGTCGCACCCTCTCCCTCGTCCGCAGCCGACTGCCGACGAGTGCCTCGCCGACGCCCAGTACGGCACGCAGACGGTCGACGCGCGCTTCAACACGTACGCGCGCCTGCTCGTCGCCTTTGCCCGCCTGTACGAGACCAAGGGTGGCGACGACGAGCTCTGCGCGCGCGACACGGCGCTCGAGACGCGCAAAATTGTCGCGGAGCAGCACTTTGCGCTGCTCGGGGACCAGCAGCAAGCGCTCGTCGTTCGAGTGCGGGCGGCACTCTTTCAAGCCTGCCGCCTCTACGCGGAGTCGCTGGAACGACGAGAGCCGAACCCTCTGCCGCCAGCCGAGCTGTGTGTGCGTCCCTCTCTGCCTTGTCATTCCCGACCGGGAGACGCGGACTCACCTCGTCGTCGTCGTCGCAGTTCCAAACCTTGCTCGAGCCTCTCTTGACCATAGCCGGCGCGCATCTGGCGGCGGACGAGGACGTCCTCGCACAGTCGTCAATCCCGTACCACTCGTCGGTGCGCCCTCCTCCCACTTCTCGGCCTCGAGATCGCGTCGTCGCCCGGTCACTGACTCTTTCTCGTCCCAGCCTGCGCCAGGCTCGCAGATGCACTCGCTCGCGCACGTCGACGACCCTCGTCAAGGTCGCGGGATCTCGGATCACTACTGCCGGCGGTACTACGGGACGACGGCGAGGGCGTGGGCGGCGAGGCAGCGAGTGCCGGAGTTGTAGAGGTCCGAGCGAGGGCGACGAGAAGGCGAGCAACGCAGTGTGCCGCGGTGCGAGGCTCTTTGACTCTCGTGCACAGCATTGAGAGAACGCTTGCCGCTGTCGTAGAGCGAGGGAAAGCCACGGCGAGCGAGCGTCGTCGACCACGGAGGAGGCTCGAGAGCGAGGGCAAGGAGGGATCGCACCGCTCTTCTTGGACAGTCACCCTGGGCTCGTCTGATAGAGACTCAACGACGCCCATTCTTGAACAGCTCGATGCGCAGGCGAGGCGCCGAGAGCGTACGCCAATTCGGCGACTCCGGCCTTGCTCCGGCTGAGGAGGAGAGCGAGACGAAGGTCGTCTCGCTCTTCACCGCTACCTCGGCTCGCTCGACTAGTGTACCAGTCCACCAGTACGACAGTCCCCGCCATGCCGCCCCTCTCGGCGCACCTGCCGTCGCTCGCCGGCCTCGTCAAGTTCGTCGCCGGCACCCTCGCCATCTCGCTCACGGCCGGCGGCGCCGCCCTGTACCTGGGCCAGTGCCGCCTCATCTACCCGGCCAACATGCCCACTGGCTCGCGCACCACCGTCCCGCGGCCCGACGAGTTCGCCATGGCCCCCTTCGACGACGTCGCGCTCCTCACCCCGGACGGCGTCAAGGTCCGCGCCTTTGTCATCCCGTACGCGCGAGACGGAGTCAAGCCGAGCGAGAGACCGACTGTGCTCCTCCTCCACGCCAACGCGGGCAACGTGGTGCGTCTCCCCTCCCTCTCTCCCTCCTCCTCCTCCCCGCTCCCCCACTTCCCCTGCCGGTGGTCCGACTCGCCCACTCGCGAGCGTGCGGCGTCAGGTCGGCTGGTGGACTCGAGGGACAAGACGGAAGCTCTCGGCGTACTCGAGGGCGACAGCGAGGCGGTCCAGGAGCTTCACACAGGAGGATCCACACGAACCCGCTGACCCTCGCTCTTCTTCCCCTCCCGTCCACGCTACAGGGTCACCGCCTGCCGATCGCCAAGGTCTTCTGGGAGCGCATGCGCTGTAACGTCGTCGCGCTCTCGTACCGAGGGTGCGTCCCTACCCAGCCACCTCCTCTTCTTCCGGTCAATCTGACCCACCTTCTTTCCGCAGATACGGCCATAGCGAGGGCTCGTGCGTCTCATCTCGTCGCGCATCTACGTTCGCGTCCCCTCCTGACCTCTCGCCGACGCAGCCCGTCCGAGCGAGGCATCAAGCTCGACGCGCAGACGGCCCTCGACTACATCCTCTCGCACCCGGACCTCGACAAGACCCAGATCTTCCTGTACGGCCAGAGCATCGGCGGCGCCGTCGCCATCTTCCTCGCGAGCCAGAACGTGCAGCGGGTCCGTCCTCTTGTCTCTCTCTCCAGACTGTCGTGCGACGAGCTCGCGTCACTGACCTGCGCTCGCGCCTCGCAGGTCAAGGGCCTCATCGTCGAGAACACGTTCCTGTCCCTCGTGCGTCCCTGTCTCTCTTTCCTCGTCTCGTGCGCCCGTCCTGACTCGTCGCATCGTCGCAGCCCAAGCTCGTCCCGCACATCCTCCCCTTCCTCTCGCCTTTCGTCCCTTTCCTCCTGCACCAGATCTGGCCCTCGGAGCAGTACATCCAGACCCTCCCCGACGACTTCCCCGTCCTGTTCCTCGCCGGCAGTCGAGACGAGCTCGTCGAGCCGGGGCAGATGAAGGGCCTGTGGGAGCTGTGTCGGAGCAGGGCCAAGCGGTGGATCGAGTTCCAGTACGGGACGCACAGTGCGTCGGCTACGTTCCTCTCGGAGCACCGACGGCGTCGAGCTTCGTGCCCTGACACTGGTGCCCTCGCTCGCAGACGATACGTGCCTCCAGCCGCAGTACTTCCACTATATCGGCTCGTTCATCGGCGAGCACACCTCCCGCCCTGCTGCGCCTCCACCTCGACCATCCGTCTCGACCTCGGCCCCTCCCGCACCGCCCTCGCCCGTCGAGGCGCCCACAGCCGCGGCGAGCGCGAGCGCAGCCGTCGAGCCCGCCGAGCCCGTCGAGCCAGAGCCTGAGCGCGAGCCGTCCTCGCCCGCCGTCTCGACCACGAGCAGCAGCGGCTCGTCCTTCGAGCTCGTCGACCGGTCCGTCGCGTCGCTCACGGCGGCCGACAAGGGCGACGGCGCTGGCGCAAGCGCAGGCGCAGGCGACGACGAGAAGGAGCGGCGGTCCGGGCGGCCGGGCGGCATGTCGGCGGGGAGCATGGGTCCGCGGCAGGAGCTCGAGGAGGCGATGCGCGAGGGCGAGGAGCTCGTCAAGGAGAAGCTGTGAGCGAGGGAGGGGGGAGCGGCGCAGGTGGGCGGAGCGGGTGGCTGCGAGGCGAGGAGAGGAGGAGGAGGAGGTCGCACGTTCGGCGTGTTGTACTCGAGCCATCCGCTGCCGCTAGGCTGTACTACTACCTTCGCGCCCTTACTTGACTTTCTCTGGCAAGGCGCGGCGTCGTAGAGAGCTCTCGAGAGCGAGACGATACCGCGTCGAGCCAAGGCTGAGCGCGAGGTCGAAGGCAGCCGTGGCGCGAAGGGAACTCTCCCTGCCGACGCTCTCGCTCGTGAGCTCTCTCGCTCAGTCTCTTCTGAGTTCTGTCAGGGCGAGAGAAAGGTCGCCGATGCCGTTTGACAACGCACTCGTCGAGTTTCCTCCTCGACGACCGTCCCAAGCTCGCTCGGGCCTCTCCCTCTCTCGGCGCTCGCGCGCGCGCTCTCGTGGAGCTCGCACGCCATACTCGTCGAACAGCGAGGCTGAGCTCGCCGAGGTTGCACTCGAGCGTTCTCGAGGCGCACGTCTAGAGAAAGCGCTCGAGCGACCTCTCTAGTCTCTCTGCTCGAGACGCCGCACACGTAGAGAAGCAGAGCCGGTCAAGCGTTCCAAGCGACAAGCGCGCACTACATCAAGCGTCCTCGCCCAATGCCCGCACTCACGACGACTCGTCGGCCGAGCTGTCGTCCGTCAACTGGTCCTCCTCCTCGTCCTCCAACTCGAGCTCCTTGCGGCGGGCCGAGACGTCCTCGTGCGGCGAGCTGTTGGACATGTCGTCGTCGGTGACCTCGCGCTTGATCTTGACCTTGCGCTTGCCCCTGGCGGCGGCGACGGCGGCGTTGTGCTTCGAAGGGCGGATCGGGAGGCGGGACCAGTCGCGAGGGTCGCGCAGGGTGCAGGCGATGACGGGCGGGTCGAGCGACTCGGGCGGCGAGAGCTTCGCGGCGCGGTCGACGTTTATCTTGACTGCGCGTAGCTGCGGGGGGACGATGGGCGAGTCAGGATCTGCGGCGCGACACGCAGCAGGTGCTCGAGAAGAAGGAACAGGACGCACAAGTTCGAGCCACGTCTTGTCCGGTTTGCGCGACCGCCACATCGTCGGGAACGACTTGTGCGACGGCGAGTTGTCCCACAGGTACTCAGAGACGATGGCCGTGAACGCGTCGAGGTGGTCGGCCGTTGCCGTCGCCGGGTCGAGCTTGGCGAGGTCGAGGAGCGCGCCCACTGCGCACGACACCTCGAGGGAGAGAGACACAGGCAGGCGAGGCTCGTCGTTGAAGCGCTTGGGCTTCGCGATGAACGTGTCGCCGTTGTGCCACGCGTGCATGTGGCGGAGGACTTCCTCGAGCGAGCCGACAGGTGCAGCGCGCTCGTCGGCGGCAGCCTGCCGACTTGACCGAGTGGCGGGAGCGGGACCAGGACCGGTCTTTGACGCGCTCAGGTGGCAGTCGACGATGCCGCAGCCGACGAACGAGGTCGCGAGCAGCCAGAAGTCGTTGCTCAGGTTGGGCTCCTGCTCTTCTGGCGCCGGCGACGACGGCTCGTCCGGGTCGTGAGCGGCGGCGACGATGAGGTCGTGGGCGTGCAGGGCGATGTCGAGGCGGTACTGGTCGAGCTCGTCCTTGATGTCGTCGAGGTGCTCGGCCCACGTCGTGTCGTCGAGCTTGATCGCCTCGTCTTGCCACAGCGCCTTGACCGACGACAGGACGAGAAAGTCGATGAACAGGGGCACGAACGGCCGAGCGCTCGACGGCAGGGCGTCCTTGAGCTTGTCGTAGCGAGGGCGGAGCGAGCGCTGGCGGTCCTGGAGGCGGTGGTGCATCGCGTCGCGGTCCTGCTTCTTTTTGATGCGCTCGGCGAGCTTGAGGATGGCGGGCTTGATGCGCTCCCACTCTGTGAGGCGAAAAGATGATGTGAGGTCATGCGCACGAGCGAGAAGGAGAGCGGGAAACGAGGACGCACCGGCGTCGGTCAACGGCTCCTCGCGCTTGACGAGCTTGCTGCTGCTGAACGTCGGCGTGAACCTGCGTTGGAGAAAGGCGCAGAGCTCAGATCGTCAGGCATGTACGGAAGCAGTACGAGAGAGGCTCGTGCGCACACGCAGGTGTCGAACCTCGGGTCCGATTCGAGGACCTTCTCGGCGATCCTGCAGACGGAGCAACGCGGTCAGGCACTGCTGCTCAGGGTGGGAAATGGGAGAGAAGAGAGAGGCTGAGACGCACTGGTCGGCCCGGTCCATCTGCTTCATGCGCTCGGCGAACGAGAGCTGCTGAGCTTGACGACGGCGGATTTTCTCGCGCAGCTTTTCGGCGGCCTCGAACATGGCGAAGCCCTCCTGCAGAGTGGCGCGAGTGTGGGGCGTGAGTGCACGCTCACCTCTCGGGAAAAAGGGAGGGAGAGAGACCGTGCCGGACGGACCTTCTTGAGCTGCTTGAGGAGAGGCTGACGGGCGGCGACAATGTCCTTGGCTCGGCGCGAAGCTGTGTGGGTGATGCCCTCGTCGTCGGACGTCTCCTTGTACGACGAGGACTGAATTGACATGCGCGCTTGGCGCTGCCGGCCGATGGCGGGCAGGTGCTCGCGCTTGTCGTGCTCGATGGTGCGCTCGATCTCCCACAGCTTGTCGCTGTAGAACTCGAGGTCCTCGATGAAGGCGTAGGCTGTGGGCCGTTGGTCGTCAGGGTGGCGCTCGTGCGGTTGAGGAGGAGCGAGCGGACGCACGAGCGTCAGTGGTCCACTTGAGCTGCGACGGCGAGTCTGTGCGGCGGGTTTGTCAGGGCGACCGTCAAGAGGCGAGAGAGAGTGGAAAAGAGTTGGACGCACGCAGAGGCCAAATGACGCAGTCCTTGGCGAGGGGGTGAAGGTCGAGAAGACGGAACGGCTTGGCGTCGGTGCGGAGCATGCTGTACACAGACGGGTGTCAGATCTGCCGTCCTGTATGACGAGCACAGAGAAAGGGGAGGCGCACGAAGATGAGCGACAGGCCCTGCAGAGTCTCTTGCGGATCCCAAAGTCGGCGCGAGCGACCTTGCCGGCGCCGCACTCCTGCTCGCGTGAAACGAGGTCAGTCCCCCGGCGACTCGAGACCGTCACGAAGCGAGAGGGGACGCACCTGGCACGTCTTGCCGAACACGAGCTCGGCGTACTGCCACTCGGTGAAGCCGCCGGCCGTTGCGTCGGGCAGGCCGAGTCGAGCGCGCGCCGTTTTCCACAGGCGAGTCGACGACTTGGCGAGGAGGAGCGAGCGGTACTGCTTGTTGACCATGCTGAGCGCGAGTAGGCCGTCCGTGTCGAGGTGCGAGAAGATCTGCGTGGGAGCGGCGGGCGAGGTCAGCTCGGAGAGACCGGGGCGAGGAGGGGGAGAGGGAGGCGAGCGCACCTCGGTGAGCATCTCGACGGGGAGCTGCTTGAGCACCTCGAGCTTGCCCTTGGCCTTCTTCTGCTTGCGGTGCTTGCCCTTGGCCGGCCCGCGAGCCTTCTTGCGCGGCTGGTCGTCTTCATCGCCCTCGTCGCCCGAGTCGACCTCGACCGCCTTGGCCTTGCCCTTGGTGCGCTTGGTCGGACCTGCAAGGGGTCGAGTAGAGTCAGTATAACGCCCTCGAGGCAGTCCCACGAGCCCACGCACCCTTGGCCTCGCTACTGCTCGCTCCTCCCTCGCGGCCGTCCTCGCTCAACTCCTCGTCCTCGTCCTCGTCGCCGCTCGAGGGCGCCTCGGCGTAGCTGAACGTGCTCGCCGTGCTCTTGCGAGCCGGGCGAGTGTGTGCGCTCATCGCAGCGTGCGAGAGCGGAGTGACGAAAGAACGAGAGCCGAGGTCCGCCGCCGACGAGGAGAGCGGCAGAAGTTGTCGCGTGAGCTGCAAGTTGCTCTGTCGCCTGGCGCGTACTGGCCCGAGAGCTGAGCAGCACAGAACCGGTGCAGCGCGCAGAGCGAGCGAGCCTCCCAGCTTTTGCACGCTCCTCCTCGCGGTCTCTCGCGCTGCTCGAAGACGCGCTCGAGAGCAGCGCTTGCTCGCACAGACGAGAAAGAGCTCGACAGGGAGACTGCTAATCTTTCCAACTGCTAGAACTACGAGATGCGGCGTCCGCTCGGGCCGCGGGAGGGACGGCGGGCGGGAGGAAGAGGACGAGGAGGGGGGACGCATGCGTGCGGCTATGTACAAGGTTTGACGAGGAGGAAGACGGGAGGGAAAAGCGGCGAGGGCGAGGTCGTGCGTCTAGCCGAGCACCTTGCGGATACCCTCGGCCTGCGACGCCGAGACGCGGTCGGGGAAGACGACCTCGACCCGGACGACGAGGTCGCCCTTGGGCTTTGACGCCGTCTTGCGCGAGATGGGCATGCCCTCGCCGGCGACGCGGATCTCCTGGCCGGGCTTGAGCGGCGGGCCGCCGCCGCGAGGGAACGGCACGTTGACCGACACGGTGCGGCCGTCGAGGTGCGTGACGGTGCGCGTCGCGTTGCCGCCGCCTGCGGGACCCGACAGCGCGTCGACGAGGGGCACCTTGAGCGAGTAGACGAGGTCGTCGCCCTCGCGCTTGAACGTCGCGTGCGGCTTCTCCTCGATGACGAAAACGATGTCTTGCGCGCCGCCGGCCATCTCGTTGCCCGCCTTGGCAAACCGGATCTTGGTGCCGGGCTTGTAGCCAGGCTTGATGGCGACTGCGAGAGGAGGGAAGGAGAGAGGAAGTCAGGCTCGGGATCTGCGAGGGAAACGGCGAGAGCGAGACGAGGACGCACCCTCGAGAACGTTGGCCTCCTCCTGGCCGTTGAGGCGCTTCTTGGTGACGCGCAGCTTCTTGGTCGTGCCCTTGTACAGGTCCTCGAGCGAGATCGGCAACGGCTTGACGGCCTCGGGCGGCGGCGGCGGCCTCTTTGCGGCGCCCGGGCCGCCCATGTCGTCGTCCGAGTCGATGTCCATGCCGAACCCGCCGGGGAAGCCGCCGCCGCCCATGCCGGCCATACCGGCGAACGGGTTGCCCGCGCCTGCGCCCGCGCCACGCGCACGCCGTCCGCCCGCTCCACCGCCGCCGCCCATGCCGCCGCCGCCCATCGAGCCGAACAGGGCCGAGAAGATGTCGTTCGGGTCCGAGGGCGTGAAGCCGCCGCCGCCTGCGCCGGGCATGCCGCCGAACGAGAAGGTCGTGCCGCCTGCGCCGCCGGGGAAGCCACCTGCGCCGCCGGCGAACGGGTTGAAGCCGCCGCCCATGCCGGCGCCTTGTGCGCCTCCTGCGCCGCCGCCAAAGCCGCCCTTGAGGCCCTCCTCGCCAAACTGGTCGTAGATCGAGCGCTTGTCCTTGTCCTGTCGCGCGAAACGCAAAAAGGTCAGCTCTCGTCATAGGAAAGGGGTCGAGAGGAGGGGGGACGAGCGAGGGACGCACGATGAGGACCTCGTACGCCTCGCTGACCTCCTTGAACTTCTTGGCCGCCTCCTCGCTGTTGTTGTTGCGGTCCGGGTGGTGCTTCAAAGCCATCCTGTAGGCGAGGGAGAGTGCGACGAGTCGGGGAAGGCGAGGGAAGGGACGGGAGGGCAAAAAGGTCAGTGACAATGCTCTAGGTTGCGCAGGATCTGTGTACACTCGCGCAGGCCCCTCCGATGCTGTGCAGCTGCTCGCCCGTCGCACCCATGGCGGCGAGGGCGAGGTTGCGAGGCGGCGAGGTCGTGTGGGGGTCGGCCCGCGCCCTCGCCTCGTCCACCAACGACGACGACAGCCCGCCGGGGCCTGGCTGCGCGCACGCACACACACTCGACCGCATGGCTGGGTGTGGAGGAGGGAGAGGGCAGGGGACGCACTTCTTGTAGGCCTTCTTGATCGCCTCGTCACTGGCGTCCTTGGGGACGCCGAGCGTCTGGTAGTAGTCGCGTGCCATCGGGGTGGTGGTGGTGGTAGTGGGTATCGAGACGAGCGTGCGTCGAGAGTGCGAGAGCGGAGGAAGAGGAGGAGGAGGAGAGACAAGGAGCCGCCGGCGAAAGCGGCCGAGTCTGGTCCTTTCCTCTACGTCGACGTCGACGACCTTCTCTCGCCCGTTTCTCGACCAATTCGCCTCGGTTTTCGCACAGCTCGACAGCGGCACACCAAGCTCGGTCTGAAGAACACTATAGCCCGCCGAAAGTCCCCACACTGAGCACCGTCGCGCAGGCTCTAGAGTGTTCTCGAGGACTCTCGCACGCTCTCGGACCCGCTCGAACGAGCGACAACATGCATTGCGAGGGAGGATCAAGTACAGGCGAGAGGCAGAGAGAGACCAGAGAGCTCACTCAGTCGAGTGTGACGACGGCGGCGCCGTTGGCCGGCTTGGGCGCAGGCGCGACCCGGCTCCAGTCGGCGCGCTGCTCGGGCGGTCGGCCCTCCTCGAACCACTTGGCGTCGGCGATCCGCTCCTTAACCGTGAGGAGGAGCCTATGTGTGCGCCAACGTCAGGCCCCGACCCTGCAGAAGGAGAGAGAGAGAGAGAGAGAGGGCGAGGGACGCACCGGTACCCAGTGCGGATCGTCGAGTCCTGCACGCCGCCGACCTCTGCGATCCGCTTGGGGTCGACCCTCTGGCCCCACAGCGCCGACACGAACAGGATGCACGAGCTCGCGATCGTGATCGGGTTGCGGCCGGCGAGGACGCCGTCGTCGACGGCGCGCTGGCCCGCCGCGGCGCACGCGCGCTGCAAAGGGACCGACAGCGCGAGGTGGTTGCACAGGCGCGAGATGAGGCTGTCGAGGTCGGTCGAGGCGGCGCCGTGAGGCGAGTGCGTGTCGAACAGCTTGTCGATCATCTTGAACGCGCCGGCAATCTCCTGTGCGTCGGGTCGCGAGAAGGAGGAGACGAGGGAGTGGAGGGGTCAGTGCGTCGTCGCGACGAGAGAGACGGCGCCCGAGAGAACGAGGGCGCACCTTCTTCGAGACGTTGGTGAGGGCGACAATCTCCTTGAACGTCCTCGCGACACGGCCTTGGCGGCAGGCGATAAAGATGCACGCGGCAATGATGGCCGCCTCGCTCTTGCCGCGCAGGACTTTTTCCTCGTCGACGCGCTTGAAGAGCATCTTGCTCGTGTCGATGATGCTCTTGGGGAGCGAGATGGCCTCGCACATGGTGGCAATCTCGCGAAACGCGCCCTGGAGGTCGCGGCCGGTGCCGCCCTGGGCGTCCTTTGCGACGCGCGAGGCGGCCATCTGGAGCGCGCGCGCGACGCCCGTGTTGTTGTCCTTGAACGAGATGACGGTGCTCAACTGGTCGGACGCGTCGAGGAGCGGGTCGGCGGGGCCTCCCACTCGAGACGGGTCGTCGCCTTCCGAGTCGGCGAACGAACGCCCTGAGGACACGAAGAGGAACGCGAGAAGGAGAGAGAGAGGGAGGAGAACGGCGTGTTCAATACAGGTTCGACGGTCGAGTGATACGAGGGCGAGGGTGGGCTGGCGAGGGCACGCGCGGCGAGCGAGCGAGCGAGAGGTCCTTGAGACGTCGACTCGCCGCCGAGCGGGCCCTGGCCAGCGCACCGAGGAGCGAGGAGGAGACGCAGGCTCACACTCTGAGCGTGTGTCGACAATCTTGTCGCCGAGAACGAGGCCTGCGTGGCGTTGGCGGCGACAGTCAGCAGGTGGGGAGGAGGAGGACGAGGACGAGGGAGGAGAGGACGAGGGGCGTACCGCAGTTGCCGCACACGAGGTCGCCCGACGAGAACTCCTCCTGGATGTTGCCCTGGTCCCTGCAGTCAGGGCACTCGAGGCGGACGTTGAGGTCCTGGCGGAACTGCTCGTCCTTTGTCGGGGCGTCCGGGTCGACCTTGAGCGCGAACGCCTGCTGCATGGCCGAGTCGCGCTGGGTCGGTAGAGCAAGGGCGAGTGGCCGGACTGGTAGACTCAGTAAGGGAGCAGAGTGGACGGGGAGAGAGGGTCGAGGTGGTCGACGAGGCCGACGAGATGAGGCCGGCCTTCGTTGCTCTTCACCCCACCGACAGTCAGAGGCGGCGATGGAGCTCGCCTTGCTCTTCTTCCTGTCTGCACTCGCCGTCACCCTCATCGACTGGATCGGCTCGGACGCCCTCGCTTCTCTCGTCCGTCCTTCCCCCTCCTCCCCCCATCTCTCCCAACCACTCGGCCGCTCAATCTCACCCTGCACACAGTTCTACACCCCGTTCGCCCCCGCCGGCACCTCGACCCGCGCCAAAAAGGCCGAGATCCTCCAGCTGCGCGCCGACCTCGCCGCGACCTCGTCCCAGGACGAGTTCAGCAAGTGGGCCCGCATCCGCCGCAAGCTCGACAAGGCCGTCCAGGACCTCGAGGCCACGACGGCCGACACGAGCCAGCACCGCAAGCAGTTCAACAAGCAGTTCAAGAGCGCCCTGTGGGTCGTCACGACCGTCGCCCCCTTTGTCGTGTCGAGCTACCACCGCAAGAGCCCCGTCTTCTGGCTCCCGACCGGCTGGTTCGGCCCGCTCGGGTGGTGGTTGAGCTTCCCGAGCGCCCCTGCAGGTGCGTCCTCGCTCTCTCCTCGTCCGCCAGAGTCGCGCTCGCGCAGTCCTCCTGAGCCCTCGGCGGCTCCGGGTCGGCTGCGCTGCCGGTCTGCTCTTGCTTGGAGAAGTCAAGAGCACGCGTATTGACTGTGTGCGCCTGTCGCCTCGCCCGCAGGTGCCATCGCCGTGTCGGTGTGGACCATGGCGTGCCGGCGCACGCTGTCGTCGGTCAAGACGGCCGTCGTCGCGCTCGTGCCCTCGCCCGAGGAGCGCACGGCCGAGCAGCTCGCCAAGGCCCAGGGCGTGCCCGCGGAGAAGGAGCGGGTCAAGGTGGGCGTGACGGCCGGCGGCGAGGAGGAGAAGGTTCGGGACGAGCTGTGAGCGTGGGCGTGTGATGACCAGGTTCCGAGCTCGCGGTGTCTCTCTGCGACTCGAGCTAGAGAGATTGGCGTGCTCATTGTGCTCTTCAAGGTGCGCGAGAGCGAGCGAGAGCTGTCGGCCGGGAGGACAGCGACTTGGCGAGAGAGGGCGCTCTCGCTCTGTCACCTCGTCGCCGCCGCCTCGTCGAGCACCCAGCTGCTGTGAGCCTCGCCCTACCAGTCGAGCGTCTCTCCAGCACCACCCGCACCCTCCAGCCAAGGCCCGCACCCTTCTCCTCCCCCTCATCTCGCCCACCCCCACGCTCCTCTCGCTCGACCCGCCTGCTCGTCCACGGCCGCAGCCACCACCACGTGAGGCTGCGCACTAGCCCCAGAGCCTGCGCACACCCGCTCACCATGCCCCCCGCCCCCGTTCACAGCGCCCTCGTGGCCCCCGTGGCTCTCTCGGAGTCGGTCGACCCGCGCCGAGTCACGCCCACCTCGCCTCGGCAGCACGGCACCGCGCAAGAGCAGGAGCGCGCCTACCCGCACCAGTCGATCCAGCACACCCCGTCTATGTCGTTCTACCGCGAGCCGTCCCCCTTGTTCAGCACCGCCGACGACCCTCCCCACCAACCGCCCGTCGTCACCGCACCCGTCCACCAGCACCTGTCGTGCGGTCCAGGTGAGCCCTCGCTCCTCGAGTTGCTCGCTCTCGGCGAGTGCTCGGTCAGCCTCGGCGGCGCAGGCTGGCCCGACGAGCTCCTCGCGGCCCCCCCTCCTCCTCGGACCTGCAGCACTGACTCGCCTCTCGCCCTCCTCGTGCCAGACGGCCTCAACCAGTACCTCGTCGAGGACCTCTTCACCGCGAGCCAGTCGTCGAGCAACAAGTCGGTCGTCCTCGACCCGCACGCCGTCCTCGAGCAGCCCCACCACCACCACCACGAGCAACCGCCGCCGCCGCCACCACCCGGTCCGCCGCTCATCCCGCTCGCGTCACGCCCACGTACCTCGACCTGGCCCTCGACCACCTCGACGCCGCTCGCCTTTCCCGACCTCAACGCGCCCAACTCGGTCCCGTACCTCCCCCTCTCGTTCGACCGCGTCCAGGACCGCCACGCCGCGTTTGACGCCGCGCTCGGATCGCCTCTGCTCGACGACGACGAGTGCCAGTACTCGCCCGAGGACGACACGTACGCCCCGAGCGCGTGGGACGGCAGCCCGGCCATGACGGACGTCGACCCTGTCTGGGGACCGCGCGGCGAGGGAGAAGACGACGACGGGGCGGCGGCGGCGAGGGACGACGAGGCGTCGCGCGGGCTGAGGCTGTTTGGGCAGCTCAGCGTCGAGGCGAGCGAGATGGAGGCCATGGTGCGGGCGGATCGGGAGCAGCAGGCGGCGGCGCAGGCGTCGCCCCCTACCTACTCGCCCGTCCTCGCGCCGATGGACGTCGCCCACCACGCCGTATCGCCCCCTCTCGGCTTCCTTCCGCCTCTCCCGCCCATCGCCGAGGGCGCCTCGCACGCCGTCCTCGCCTTTGCCCCGCCAGCGCCTCCTCCCCCTCACCCTCCCTCGACCTCGTCCTCTCCTCCCCTCGCCGACGCCGAGCCCGTCGCGCGTTCGACCCGCTCCCGCCGCTCGACATCTACCTCGACCGCCTCGTCGGCCTCGGCAGCACCTACCGTGCCCGCCCCGACCGTTGCCGCGCCTGCACCCGCGCCTGCGCCGCCCTCGTTCGCGCCGCCGGCGCCCTCGCCTGCCCGCGCACGCCCGCCTCGCTCGCGCACGTCCACCATCAACGGCGCGAGCACCGTCACTGCGGGCGCTGCCGTTACGCCCGTCGCGAGCCCGCTGCACGCCGCCGCGAGTCCTGCGCCGGCGCCGAGCGTGCGGCACGACCCGTCGTACCTGCCCGGCTCGCGCCCGCCTGCCACGTTCTCGACCGCCGTCGCGACGGGGCCACGCACCGCGAGCCCGCCGAGCGTCGCCGCCGCCACGAGCGCGAGCGCGAGCCCGCCGACGGGCCAGGGCGCGCGGAGCGCCCCGGTCCCGCGCTCGTCCGCTCCATCGACGGCCGGCGCCGTCTCGCGCGCCGCGAGCCGCTCGAGCACGCGCACGAGCACGAGCGCGAGCCCGGCCCCAGGCCCAGGCCCAGGCTCGAGCAGCGCCGCGCCGTTCGACCCTCACGCGCCGCGCGTCGCGCTCGACGCCCCGACGCGCCCGCGCACCTATGCCGTCGAGAGCCGCACGTCGGCCAAGGCGGTGCCGGTCAAGCTCCTGAGCCGCAGCCGCAAGCGCGCTTTGTCGCGTGGCGCCGAGGCGGGCGGCGAGCGGGGCACGGGCACGGGCACGGGCACGGGCGGCGAGGCGCAGGTCGACGAGGAGCTCGTGAGCGAGGCCGAGCGACGCAGGAGGGCCAACACGCTCGCTGCGCGGGCGAGCCGGGCGAGGAAGAAGGACGAGCTCGAGGGCCTCAGGAGGCGTGTCGGGGAGCTCAAGGAGGAGAATGAGCGGCTGAGGGTGTGGGGAGAGGGGCTCGAGCGCGAGCTGGAGGAGGTCAGGGGGGAGTGGAGGGGCAAGAGGCGCAGGATTGAGGAGCAGGAGTGAGTGGGTGGACGAGATGGAGCCGAGGGCGGAGCGAGGAGATGCGGCGGCGAGGAGGAGGAGGCGACGACGAGGAGGGCTACGAGGCGGCACCAACGTCGACCCGCCGACGCTCACCGAGCGACGACAACATACACGACGAGTCGAGCCTCGGCGGGCTCGGCGACCGTCACCCACAACCTCCCCTCGTCCATCGCCTTCATCCTCGTCGTCCTCGGCGCCCGTACTCGCCTCGCCTTCCTCGCCTCTTCTATACCTCGACGGCCATCGCCACACCAACAACTCCTTCTTTCGCCTGCGTCTTTGTCTGCCGTCCTGCCTGTCACCCTTCCCCTCGTCCACGCCCGGCCGTCAACCTCTCGAGCGAGCGCACCTGTCGCTCCTGACTCCCTCTTTCCTCCTTCCCCCTCGTCTTTCGTACCTCTTTGTACCCCTCTCTCGATCTTTGTGCCCTCTCAGATAGACTCGCCCCTCGGCGCGGGCCGGAACTCGTCGTCGCACGGTCGGGTCAGAGCCATCGACTTTCTTCCCTCCGGCGGTCGCCTCTCCCCTGACAATCACTATTTGTGTTCATGCCTATCGAGTGCCCGAGAGAACGCGAGAGAAGATGAACGAAGCCCGAGCGAGTCAGAGAGCTGTTCGAGCCGCAGCTAGAGGTTGCTCAGGGTCAGTGCGCGCGAGGCGCAAGCTCTTGCACTGCCTCGCGCCCAGTCAGATCCTCTTCCTTACTCTCTGTCGACGTCGGTGGAGAGCAAAGTCGGCTTGTCAAAGCCACTCGGCGTGCGCGAGGTCCGAGCGAGAGAACCGAAAGTCTCTCGTCGCCAAGTCTCGCGATGAACACGGCTCTGCTGGAGCTCGCCTCACTCTCTCCCTTTCTGCTCAAAAGCTCTCTCGTGCGACAGAGACGAGACGAGAGGGTAGACGGCTGCCGAATCGCGAAGCCGAGCGACTCTCTCAAGTTTGACGACCTTCCCAAACGCAAAAGAAGACGTCCAACGCTCTCGATGAAATGCAAGGGCCGCCCTCGGCTCGTCTACTCGTCAACTGGTGTGTCTATAGTGGCGTACTGCTGTGCGAGGTCGACAGGGGGCGATGCGGGCTCATGGGGAAAGAGAAGGGACGGGCGTCGGGTGGGAAGGCGGCGCCGACGAGGCTCAGTGCCGCTGCTGCGGTACGGGGCAACGATATAGGGTCAGTCGAACGAGCTCTGAGCGGGACTGAGGTGTGACGAGGCGAGAAGAGAGAGGGCTGAGACGCACCTGGACATCAGCGGCCCGAACGTCTCGCACGAGCCGCATGAGTTGCGGCTGCTCGAGAGCGTTCAAGAGCTCGGCTTGCTGTATGAGAGAAAGCGTGTGCGTGTCAGTCGAGTCTCGAGGGCCAACCTTGAAAGCGCAGAAAGAGAGAGAGGGACGCACGACGTGTTGGACGTCGAGCAACGGACGCAAAGCGTACGTCTGGCCGCAGGCGTGGTACAGCAGCGCTCGGGCCCTCGCGACGGCCTGCACCTGCTGATCGATCGACAGCATCGAGAAGTGCACCTCGGCCGTCCTCCGCTCGACGACGGTCGGGACCTCGGCGACCCTCATGAGCTTCTCGAACGACTCGCGGACGACGCGCAGCGCTGCGGCGTCGGCCTTGTGCGCCGGATACGACTCGTACAGCTTGATGAGGTCTTCGAGGAAGCCGACGAAGGCGGAGAACCGGGTCGAGGCAGGCTGAAGCGAGTCATGCGCTCGTGCGAGGACCACGTCGGCCGACACCTGGGAGACGGGGAGCGCCGTCAGTGTCGTCGAAAGAGGAGGCAGCAAGAGACGAGAGGGGACGTACGAGGACGTCGTCGATGGCGTCGCCCGTGGGGAGCCGCTTGCGCACCTGAGCGTAAAGCTCGCGGACCTCGTGGACGACACGCTGCGACACGGGCCGCTCGAGCCGGTACAGCTTGCCCCTCGTGACACCGGCAGGACCCAAGAAGGCCTTCTCCCACGTGGTGCTCGAGTTGAGGGCGTCGGTGCGGCGCGAGTCGATGCAGAGGTTGCGAATATCGCGGACGAGGTTCGAGACCTGGACGTACGGCGCGGCCTGGGTGTCCATGACGGCCTGCGTGCGTCAAGAAGAGTCAGGGTGTACGTTTATCGACGAGAGAGCATCGTCGACGCACGAGAGCGCTCTCTTTCGGGATCTCCATGAACCCGACCGCGCGGCGCAATTGCTGGTAGTTGAGCTGCAGGTGGGCAGGCAGGTCATCAGTCCGCGCTTCGAGACGGGCCCGGTCGTGTGAGAAAGAGAGCGTACCTTGTCCCATAGGAAGTCCTCGTGCGGCGTCCTCGTCGTGCAGTATGCGGCGAGAAGGCGGTCGACGACCCGCTCGCGCTGCCAGGGCAACAGCTCGTACCAGTTCTGCGCGAACCGCGTGCCGGCGCCGGTGAGCGAGTTGTTGATCAAGGCTTCTCGAGACTTGGTAGGGTCGCTGAGCGTGTCGGACCGCGACGGCGCGTGCAGCTGCAGCCAGTGGTAGAGAGAAGTGGCACGACTGCTGAGGAGCGCGGCAACCGCGTCGAGCCTCGGGTCCATGATGGCTGAGCTGGTTGAGGTCGAGCGAGTAGAGGAAGCAGAGCGAGAGCAGCTTTGAGCTGGCTCAGCCGACGAGCGAGAGCCGGGAGGAAGCCAAGCGGCAAACGGCGTCCGCCGACTGACGACGCTCTGAGCGGAGCCGGTCCGGTCCCCTCCCGTGCGAGCGGTCGATCGTCCGTGCGTTACCGAGCTCTCCTGTCGTCGTCAAGCCGCAAGCTTTCCGCGGAGAAGCCGAGAGTGTGCACCTGCTCGGCCGACTCTGCGTCGGCGCAGGGTCGCGGAAGCACCGTCGCAGAGCTCTCAGGACTCGGCTGCAGGCTCGAGAGCGCCCAGCTTGCCCAAACGTCGGCAGGGAAGCGACGTGCGAGAGGCGAGAAAGGGCCGCTCGGACCTCGCTTTGACCTTCTCAAACCGACAAGTCGACCTTCTCAAACTGAGCACCGACGAGCGCGCTGTATCTATTGCTCGACGACGTCTACGGCTGGTTCTCAGGCTCTACGAGTAGTGGTGCGGCGTTTGTGCCGCCCTCGGGAGCCGCCAGTCTGGGCGTTGCGCGAGATATGCGGGCCAGGTCGAGTCGACGAGCGGCGCGGGCGACGGCGGCGATGATGACGAGTAGGCTGCGTTCTGCTGCAGAGAGAGTCCCGGAGGATCAGCTCGAAGGTCTCGGAGAGACGACGGGGAGAGGAGGAGGGTGGTCGAAGAAGAGGCCGGCGCACCTCGAGACCAAGGCGGGCGCCGCGAAGGAGCTCGGGATGTTGAAGGGCCGCGAAGAAGTGCTCGAGCTGTTGCATGGGGGAACAGAGTGAGTTCATGCGCCTTGCTGCGAGTAGGGAGAAGGAAAGGAGAGGACGCACAAGGACTGAACTCGAGGGCAGGGGCTTCTGCTCGTGGTGCTCGCGGCACATGCTGAACAGGAGGTCCCTCGCGTTCTCGACGGCGGCAACCTGCTGATCGAGCGGCAAACCGGCAAAATGCACCTCGCCGACCCGCCGAGTGAGGACGACCGGGTGCACGCCGACGGGCATGCGGTGGTCGAGAAGCGCTCGGGCCTTCTCGAGCTGCTCGACATCGGCCGCAGTGTTGGCAGAGGAACGGTACAGGATGATGAGGCAGTCGAGAATGTTGACGAGCTTGTCGAACCGGGTTGAGGGCGGCTGCGTCGCAGCGTATGCGCGCGAGAAGACGATGTCGGCGGACAGCTGCGCGAGGAGGAGAGGGCGCGAGGTCAGTCTGTAGCTCGCGCACAGGAATCGCGAGGCATCTCGAAGACGTAGAGGACGAGCGACGCACGAGGACGCGGTCCAGCGACCAACCGGCGTGAATGCACTCCTTGACGCCGGCGAGGACGACCCGCACCTCGTAGACGAGATCGCGCTGGGCCTCCGCCTTGAGCCGCTCGAGCTTGACCCGCGTGATGCCCGAAGCGCTCATGAACGCTGTTGCCCATAGTCGTACCGCGTCGGGATCGGTGGGCGAGCTCGAGTACGAGCTGGCGACCTCGATCGCTCGGACGAGCTCGACGACCTGGACGTAGGGCGATGCGTCGTTCTCCTCGGCTGCCTGTTGGTGGCGCGTAGTCAGTGAGGTGCTCTTGTGGAAGGAGGAGCGGACGACGTACCAGCTCGGCTTCGCGCTGCTCGATAAACCGGCCGATCGGGCCGCACAGGGTTCTGTAGGTGAGCTGCTCGAGGTGTTGTCAGTCCGCTGGCCGATGCTCGAGGGAGTGCAGGGAAGGGCCGGTGCTCACCTTGTCGTAGTGGGAGTACGAGGTGCGGCAGGCGCGCGAGCGACAGTAGGCGGCGAGGAGCGTTTCGACGGCTCCCTCGCGCACCCACGGCAAGAGCGTGCCCCACCCTGCGACAAAGTTGGTCCGAGCGAGGCTCAGGTTGCGGTTCGTGTTCTGGTCGAGCCGACCTTTGGCGTGCTCCTTCTCGCGGCTCCTCTTGTTGAGGTGCCGGATGGACGGGTCTTGCAGCCACGTGAATAGGGCTTCGAGCTGCCCCAGGCAGGTGTCGCTCGAGCTAGGGCGAGCCATAGCCGCCGACGAGTCGCACGAGAAGCGGTGGCCAGGAGCGAAGCTGAGAAAGCGGCCGAGCCTCGCGACCGTCGCGAGCGCAGCCAGACGAGCGTCTGCACCGGACGGCGTTCCCGGACGGACCCGCGGCAGCCGGTGAGGCGAGATCGGTGCCCCTTGTCCGCGGCACAGGCGCTCCTGAGCGGTGGAGCGCACCGCGCGTCGACCGTCCACGAGGGCCAGGGTCGGCGACGAGGAGGAAGCGAGCGAGCGAGCGAGAGGTCGACCCGAAGCTGGGTCTCTGGCGAGGTGGCGGCACGCGGCAGCGCTATGCGCGTGCACTGATTGCAGGCCTGCGCGCGCTCGCGAGACGCAGCGAGCATAGGAGGGCAGCACTGCGACCGCGTCAGCGGCCTCGACGAGGAGGACGAGAGAGGCGGCGGGGGCGGGGCGAGAGCTGGGCAGCGACGCGACCGGCCCAAGAGCAGGCCTGGAGAGCGCAGCACGAGTGGCAAGCACTGCAGAGGGCCGAGGTGACGAGGGAGAGGAGCGGTGTCGTCGTCGTCGTCGTCGTCCAGCTCTCCTCCACCATCCCACGGCCGCCATGGTTCAATCTGCTCAGGGTGAGCTCAGACCTAGCCCAGTCTCCTCTACGACACGTACTGACCACCCGCCCGCCCAACCGCAGGCCTGCTCGCGCTTCTCGACGAGCCAGAGCCCGCTCTCCAGGCGCACGCTCTCGAGGCCATCAACGCCCGCATCGACTCGTTCTGGGCCGAGGTCGCAGACGAGGTCGTCAAGATGTGCGTCCTCACCTCCCTCACCTCATTCCTCGAGCTGCCTAGGGCGACGAGCGCGAGTCGGTCGCCTCCTCCCCCGCTCACATCGCTGACGACGTCTCGCGCGCACCTTGTCCCCTCCCACAGCGAGGCCCTGTCCGAGTCGACCGAGTTCCAGAGCCGCGACCTCGCTTCTCTCGTCGCGTCAAAGGTCTACTTCCACCTCGGCAACCTCGACGAGGCCCTCTCGTTCGCCCTCGGCGCTGGCAAGCTGTTCGACGTCGAGCTCGCAGGAGACGTTCCGCCGCAAGAGGCCCAGTATGTCGAAACCATCATCTGTGAGTCGCACCCGTCGTCCCTCTCGCCTGCTTCGCCTCTCTCGAGCGGCGCTGACCTCACCCCTCCCACCTCGCACAGCCAAGGCGATCGACTCGTACACGTCGTCCAGGTCGGCAGCTGCACCTTTGGCCGACGCCGTCGACCCGGCACGAGTCGGCGGCAACGTCGACAAGCGTCTCGAGGCGATCGTCGAGCGCATGTTTGAGCGGTGTGAGCGCGACGGCGAGTACAAGCAGGTGCGCCGACCCGTCCCCCTTCTGCCCTCTCTCCCTTTTGCCCAGAAGCTGACCCTGTCTTCCTCGACCGCCGCAGGCTCTCGGCATCGCCCTGTCGTCCCGACGACTCGACGTCGTGCAGCGCATCTTCGACCAGACCAAGGACGCGAGCCTGCTCGAGTGGATCCTGCACATTGTCGTGCGCGAGGGCATCGCCGTCGGCGGCCAGAGCAAGAGCTACAAGAGCGAGGTGCGTCCACTCTCTCCTCGTCTCGTGCGACGTGCGTCGCCGAAAGATGGGCGCTGACCCTGGTCTTTCGGTGCCACAGATCCTCCAGCTCCTGATCAAGCTGTTCGAGTCGCTCCCGTCGCCCGACTACTTCTCGATCACCCAGTGCTTCGTCTACCTCAACGACCCGTCCCTCGCCTCTTCCCTCCTGTCGTCCCTCCTCAAGCTCGACACGCCGTCCGACACGCCCGACGACGACGCCGTCCTCACGGCCTACCAGATCGCGTTCGACCTCGCCGAGACGGCAACGCAGGAGTTCCTCCAGTTTGTGCGGGCCGCGCTCGCGCCGGCCGACGCCGTCGAGGCGCCCGCACCCGCACCGAGTGGCGGCGAGGGCGGCGACGCGACCGCGGCGGCCGCAGCGCCGGCGGCGCAGCAGGAGGTCAAGCCCAAGGAGGGCGCCGAGCTCCTGCGCGAGCGCGTCGTGACGATCCTGAGCGGCGAGGAGAGCATCAAGCTCTACCTCGAGTTCCTGTACCGCAACAACAAGGCCGACCTGCTCATCCTCAAGTCGACGCTCGACGCGCTCGAGCCGCGCAACTCGATCTACCACTCGGCCGTGTCGTTCATGAACGCGTTTGCGCACGCCGGCACGACGTCGGACCAGTTCCTGCGCGAGAACCTCGAGTTCCTCACCAAGGCGAGCAACTGGTCCAAGTTCACGACTACCGCCGCGCTCGGCGTCATCCACAAGGGCAACCTCGCCCAGGGCAAGGCCATCCTCGAGCCGTACCTCCCCGCGGCCAACGGCGACCGCGGCGCGGCGGGCAGCGTCTACTCCGAGGGCGGGTCCCTGTACGCGCTCGGCCTCGTCAACGCCAACCACGGCAAGGACGAGACGGTGCGGTACCTCGTCGACACGCTCAAGAACAGCCAGGACGAGGTCATCCAGCACGGCGCGGCGCTCGGTCTCGGCGTGGCGGCCATGGGCAGCGGCAACGAGGGTGCGTCTCTCGCTCTCTCTCTCTCTTTTGGCGACCTCTCTCTCTTCCCGAACCTGTGACTCACGCTCTCGCCCCTCGCCCACAGAGCTGTACGACGAGCTGCGCACGGTCCTGTTCAACGACTCGGCGGTCGCCGGCGAGGCGGCCGGGTACGCCATGGGCCTCGTCATGCTCGGCACGGCGTCGGACAAGGCGCTCGACGAGATGCTCCAGTACGCGCACGAGACGCAGCACGAGAAGATCATCCGCGGCCTCGCGCTCGGCCTCGCGTTCCTCATGTACGGCAAGGAGGAGGAGGCCGACAGCCTCATCGACACGCTCGTCGGCGACGACGACGCCATCCTGCGGTACGGCGGCATGTACGCGCTCGCGCTCGCGTACGCCGGCACGGGCAACAACCAGGCGATCCGCAAGGTGCTCCACGTCGCCGTGTCGGACGTCAACGACGACGTGCGCCGCGCGGCCGTCACGGCGCTCGGGTTCCTCCTGTTCCGCAACCCGACCCAGGTGCCGCGCATCGTGCAGCTCCTCAGCGAGTCGTACAACCCGCACGTGCGGTACGGCTCGGCGCTCGCGCTCGGCATCTCGTGCGCCGGCACGGGCCTCGAGGACGCGATCGCGCTCCTCGAGCCCCTCACCAAGGACCCGGTCGACTTTGTGCGCCAGTGCGCGTGCATGTCGCTCGCCATGATCCTCATCGAGCAGAACGAGACGAGCCACCCCAAGGTCGCCTCGACGCGCGCCATCTACAAGACGATCCTCGCCGACAAGCACGCCGACCCGATGGCCAAGTTTGGCGCCGCCCTGTCGCAGGGCATCATCGACGCCGGCGGCCGCAACGTCACCATCTCGATGCAGAACAAGAGCGGGAGCGGCAACATGCCCGCCATCGTCGGCATGGCCCTCTTTGCCCAGTTCTGGTACTGGTTCCCGCTCGCGCACTGCCTGTCGCTCGCCTTTACGCCGACGGCCATCATCGGCGTCAACAAGGACCTCAACGTGCGTCTCTCGCTCTCTTCCTCTCTCTCTCTTCGTGTCGGCGAACCTGTCCTGACCTCTCTTCTCTCGCCCTCTCCCTTTCCCTCTCTCGCAGCTGCCCAAGTTCGAGTTCGTCAGCAACGCCAAGCCGTCCCTGTTCGCGTACCAGCCCGCGACCAAGCCGCCGACCAAGGAGGCCGTCGAGAAGGTCAAGACGGCGGTCCTGTCGACGACGGCCAAGGCGACGGCGCGCGCAAAGGCCAAGGAGGCGGCCGAGGGGGCCGAGAGCGGTGGCGCCAAGGTCGACGAGATGGAGACGGTGCGTCTCTCGCTCTCCCTCTCTCGACGTGCGCGAGCTCGGCGACTAACTCTCCTCCGCTCGCAGGACGACAAGCCCGCCGAGGAGACCAAGCCGACGACCGACGACGCCAAGATGGACACGGACGACACTACCTCGGCCGCCGCTCCCGCCGCATCGACCTCGACCTCGACCGACGCACCAAAGAAGGACGGCGCCAAGGCGCGCAAGGCGCCCGAGCCGTCGTCGTCGACCCTGTCCAACCTCTCTCGCGTCACGTCGGCCCAGCTCTCGGTCATCACGTTCCCGTCGTCGGCGCGCTACGTGCCCGTGCGGCCCGTCGCACCTCCTGCCGCGCCCTCGACGGGCGCCGGTCCCGGCCCGTCGGGCTCGAGCGCCGGCGCCAAGCCGCTCGCGCCTCTCGCGGTCGGCGGCGGTGGCGGCATCCTCCTCATGCGCGACACGAAGAAGGGCGACGACGAGGAGCTCCTCGAGTTGACCGTCTTCAAGGCGATCGACACGAGCGGCGACGCGGCGGTGGCGGCGGCGGCGGCGGGCGTCGAGCCTGCGGGGGCGCCGAGTGGAGGGTCGGCCGGCGACGACGAGCTGCGCACTGCGCCCATCGCCGACGTGCCGCCGCCGTTCGACTGGTCCGACTGGGGCGCGTGATCGCCACTTTCCCTCTCTCTCTCCTTGCCGCTCGCTTTCCCCTCTCGCACCCTGTAGACGCAATGAAACATCTCTCGAAGTTCCTTGTGTGCATGTTGCTCGCTACGGCTCGTCGAGAGAAGTGAGAGCAACGACCGCCGGGCACGCCTCGACGACGTCCGGCCAGCTCGCGAGCCGCTCGACAAATGCGTCGAGGACCGTGACCTCGTCTGCGCCACTCTCGAGCCCCGCTCCAGCTCGTGCTCCTCCCTTGCCCGCCGCCGCCCCAGCCGCCGTCGACCGCTTGACGCCGCGCCGGGCATGAGCGACGCCGTCGCTCAGCAGCTGCAGCGCGCGCCTCGTCCCCTGCGCCGCGCCCTCCTCTCCTCGCCCGCCCGCCGACCGCCTCTCGACCTCGAGCGTCCACATGGCCGCACCGGCGACGACGTCTGCGACGAGCGCGACATGTCGACGCCGGCGCCGCTGCTGCGGCGGCTCCTCCTCGGCGCCACCGAAGCCGCCGGCTGCGACGGGCGTGCGCGCCCAGGCCTCGAGGTCGGGCAGGAGGACCTCGCCGACAAGCGTGGGCAGGAGCGCTGCGCCCGTCGCGGCCCCGCCGGCGCCGAGCGACGAGCTTGACGAGCCGACGAGGGCGACGAGGGCGCGCTCGGCGTGGACGGCCGTCGACGGCGTCGACGAGCTGTCGGCGGCCGCAAAGAGCGCGGGCAGGACGACGCCGCGCAGGAAAGCTGCGTCGCCGTCGCCTCGAGGGGCGAGCGCCCTCGCGCGAGCGAACGAGCGCGCGAGGCCCGGCGGCGGCGGCGGCGGCAGCGGTCCGTGCGCCGCTGCGTCGCCGTTCCCGGTCGCCGTCGCCGTCGCCGTCGCCGTCGCCGCTCCGAGCGCGGCCAGCTCTGCGCGCAGCTGCGCCTCGAGCGGCGCACGGCCGTCGTGCTCGTCGCGCGGCTCCTGCGGCGCCGCGAAGCGCAGGGCGCGCTTAGCCGAGGGCCGGAACGGCTTGACGAGCTTGATGAGTTTTGCGCGGTCGAGGGCTGAGGACGGGAGGGCGGCGATCGAGGGGTCGAGGAGGAGGCGGACGAGGGAGGGGGCGACGAGCTCGATGATGGATGGAGGGAGGGACGGCGCGAGGACGAGCGTCTGGAGGATGTCGAACATGGCGAGTTGTTGCGGCGACGCTCTGCAGCGGAGACGATCTTGTCAGTGGCAGAACTCGTGGACGAGGCCTCGTCGAGAGACCTCGCTAGACGGGAGAGAGAAAGAGAGAAAGACAAGAGACGCACGAGGTCCGCTCGACCTCCTCGACGAGCCACAGGAGCACGCCGGGAAGCGTGAAGCGCAAGAGCTCCTGGAGGAAGTACGACAGGGCGTCGCGCAGGCTGTCGAGGTCGACGACGCCGGCGTGGCGCGCCAGGAGCGACTGCTTGAGGATGGTCGGCGCGACGCGCAGGAGCGTACGCGGGTTGGTGGCGCTGCAGGACAGGGTCGAGCAGGTGAATCAGGTCATGCTCGACGACGTCTGAGAGCGCGACAGGAAGAAAGGAGAAGGCAGAGGGAGAGAAGAGGGGCAGGAGAGAGAGAGAGAGAGAGAGAGGCGGACGCACTGCATCAAGTCGTCCGAGATCCCCTCACCGAACAGCGCGCCGATCCACCCACTGACGACGCTCCGCTCGTCGTCCGATAGGGTCGACAGCGCGTACACGGCCGAGCACGACGGGAGCCAGGTCGTGACGAAGCTCGACGCCGACCCGAGGTGGTGCGCGAGGTCCGAGTGGAGCTGCAGGACGCGGGCGAGACGAGGGCAGGAGAGGGCCGAGTTAGGGCGTGCGCGAGTAGGTGCGAGAGATTGAGAAAGGGGAGGCGCACCTTGAAGCGACGTGCGACGAGCTGCACGAAGAGGACCAGGCCGCCGTACCGCTCGATCGGGTTGCCGTCGCCTGTGCGGCGTTCAACCAAGTTCCAGGTCAGTCATCTCGCTCGAGGCGTCGACGCCGGCCAGAGGAGAGCGAAAGAGGGGCGCACCAAAGTCGTCCTGCGACGTGTCGACCTCGTCGAGCACTGCCCGGACAGGTCCGAGCACCTCGCGCGCCTCGACATGGACGAGCAGGACGGCGAGCGCGTCGCGGTGGTCGACCAGGGCGTCGCACACGGTCGAGAGACCGACGATGTCGTGCGAGGTCGACTTGGTCGAGAGGTCCTGCGGGTGAGGGCGAGAGAGGAGAGTGAGCCCGGGAGAGGGAAAGGGGGCCGCGACGAGGAGAGGACCGAGGCGTGCTCACCTCGACGATGGCGGACGAGATGGCCTGCTGCGACACGTACGACTCGACGAGCTCGTCGAGGAGCTGCTTGACCTCGTCTTGAGCCGCACCGGCGAGCCGATCCGAGTAGTCGGCGACCTGCGACGACGACCTCCCCTTCAGTACACCGTCTCTCCGCGGGTCTGCGAAGCGACGAGGGGCACAAGGGGAGAAAGCGCGACGCACCATAGCCGCCTGGAGCTCGCCCGCGTCGACGTGCGGAACGAGGTTCGCGGCCGCCTCGGGCGACACGAGCGCGCGCTGGCTCAGGGCGACGACGAGCGAGTCGAACGTGCGCGACGTCGCCGACGATGATGACGGGGTGTCGCTGTGACAATCGTCAGGACGGCGCTCGGCGCAGGCGCAGGGGGGCGAGAGAAAGAGAGGGGGGGAGAGGACGCACCCGTCGACGTCCATGCCCTCGGCGCCCGCACCCGCTCCACCAATCCCGCCGTCCCGCACCGCCCGCAGCGCCTTCACAAGCGCCTCCTGCGCCCCGAGCGACGACGACAGGCCCTCGAAGACGCCCTTGAGCGCGTGCGGGAGCTGCGTGAGGGCGGGGAGGACCGTGCGCTCAGGTCAGTGCTGCGTCGCGGTAGGGCCACTTCCCGCGAGATGACGACGAGGAGAGAGAGAGAGTGGACGCACCTTGGCGAGCAAGCACGCCTCGAGGACGACCTCCTCCTCGCGCCCTCCCTCCCCCTCTCCCGCTCGACCCGCCGCCCCGCCCACAAGCCTCACCGCCCCGCCCACCACCTCCGCCAGCACCCCCTCGAGCGCCGCACGCTCACCTGCGCCCTCGTCTGCGCCCGATAGCAGCCGCCGCCGCTGCCGCCGGGCGTGCGCGAGCCGGCACGCGACGAGCGCCGCGAGGGTGCACGAGAGGTGGGCGGGCGCGGTGGACGGGGCGTGCGGGTGCGAGAGCTGTGTGTGGGGGGGCCGTGGGTGAGTCAGTGCAGGCTCGTGAGGGGGAGGGTGAGAGGAGGAGGAGAGAGGGACGCACAAAGTCCGACAGGAAGAAGGCGAGGTCCCCACTCGGCGTCCTCACGCTCTCCGCGAGCGCCTCGCCCTCTTCCTGCTCCTCCTCTACCACCAGCATCCTCCTGCTAGCATCTACATACATTATTTCTCGGACCATCGGAATAATATGCATCATCTAGTATTGTCTGATTCTTTGACATCTTTAAGTGTGCCACTATCACGAGC